TTTCAATGGGCATGAATATATGTTTATTAAAGCATATAATGATGTTCATTGATTTTGTTTTTTTTGCATCTTTTTCAAACTTTTAAGAGAATATAATGACAATATATTAACGTTTTTTAGAGAATATTATCATATTATCATATTAATGCATTTTTTTTTTTAAATTTTTTTTTTTTACAACATTCTATAAATAACTAGTGACACTTGTATATTAAAATATAATAATAGTGCACTTAAGTAAGATACGGATATAAAATAAATATAACAATATAGGTAATTTAATTTTTAAAAACTTAAAAATCACAATACACATGATTGGATAAGTGCTAAACAAAATATTTGGATATTTGAATAATTGATTATGATTAATGATAAATAAATATGTTGATATTATTATCAGTATAAAACTGCCAGCATTGCAGGTTAGCCAACATGTTTAGTGTACGGTAACTTATAATAGGTAGGTACTAAACCTTTTTATCAAAATGATAAAAAAAAAAAAATTGAAAAATATTTAATAATTGTCCAGGTACCGTGTTATTAAAATTTATATTTGTTCTCACAACTAACAAAATATTCCAAAATATATAAAACAAGCTAAAAATTCCTTAACCCATGTAATATTTTGAAATATGCAAAAATAAACTTTTTCTGATGAACTCAGAATTGAACGAATCGTCAACATTTCTTACTCTCATAATACTGCATAAGCTCAGTAACGATATGTAAAACATATAAATCCGGTCTTTAGTCATAACCAATTTGTCAGTTTATACTTATATCATATATTAACCAGCATATAAAAATGTATTAATTATAAAATATTTGTACAGCATATTTCAATAATGTATATTCTAATATATCTTGTAAGGATAAGGGTTATATAATATAATACATAAAAAATATATATCAATACACATTCTACAGTATGTGTATTTGTGAATGTGTGTTTTGATATTTCAAGGTAGTAAACTAGTCAAGTATAAATTGAAGGTGCCTATAGTTTATCGGAGATAACCAAACATAAAACTGATAATTTAATTTTTTTCAGAAAATGTTTACTTCACCAAACTGTACCAGTCTTCCCAATCTTATTTTTTGGCTTAATTATCTAACACTTATATTTATTTTCGAATAAAATTAATTAATAGGTATAGATAATGTAACAAATATTTTAAATATGCTATAACTATAGCTATTTTTAAACAAATTAAAATAATGTAATATTTTGACATAATTTAATTATGACATACTTACGACATATTATAATGTGTATCTACCCAACGGCCTACGCACACTGTATTTACTACTATTATTATATTCTTTTAAATCGTACTATTTGTTGATAGCTCGTTTGAAGCCAATAAAGACATGTTTTATACTCCTAACGGTACTAACCTTGTCCAAAATATTGTAAATACCTACAACTATATTATAAATATTTATCATATTGAAATAGATTTTACATTTATACATTTTTATTATACCTAAATATAATTAAAATTTTGGATCGATTAAATAATGAATGGATATTTTTGATTTATAAATGGTAATATTCAATTCATCTGAATAAATTAAATTCTAATCACTATTCATTTAGTATTTAAGCCGGATAGGCAGTGGTGTTCCCAAAGGGTATACCTACTACATAATATCCGTATAAATTCTCAGCATTTTTTTTTTTTAAATCATGGGTATAGTGTGTTTATTCTCACTGTTCGTTTATACTACTTATGCCAATAAAACCATAATAGTAACAAGTATTAATAATTGTATTTCTTTCAGTAATTATAACTAAAAAATGTACAATTCTCTTACGATTTATAATACTTATTTAATTTTGAGTGTTTTAATTTAGTAATTTAATTTTAATTTTTGTATGATTGACATATATTTCATTATAAACAATATATAAATTACCAAATGTAAGGCTCAGGACATTAAGATATATATAAGTAAGTATTTTAATACAAATTTACAAGAACACTTCTGCAGTATTGCGTATAAATACATTATTTATTTAATGTATGGTTTATATGATTACATACTTAATCGAAAATAAAATAATCATTACAAATTTAAAAAACATTGCTAACGAAAAACGATTCTGAGCGATTTCAATAATTCATGATTTGAAATGCTGTTATTTTCACGATTTTCATCAAAATTTGATAAATACTTATAAAAAAAAAAATGTTTTTATTATTCTTTCTATTTAAGCAACATAAAAACTACGTTTTATCATAAAACAATTTTTTTTTTTTTAAATAACAAGTTTGGTACTTTATAATTGTATACACGCCATATGAAACAAGAAAAAAAAATTGTATTCAATTAAATTAGTTCGTTTATATCCTACATATTTTACACATTATTATAGACATCTACACTTGTACTTGATTCAAAATGTGTTATTATGATTAAACAATAAAACAATAATGATATTTATGGAGTAGGATAATACTATTATACCAGTTACTGGGGTTACAGTACTGGTTCTTAAATAAAAACAATTTTATCGTTTGGACGTTAAAAAAATTATAATTAAAGTTCCGGTTCGATAAAAAATTCAAACTATTCAGAGGTTCACATAACCGGTTCTTTTCGGGATTCTTTGGTCTTAATGTTATTCAATTTTATATTCATTGTCTGTCTATATAATTTTTTATTTTAAAAATAATCTGTGTGTTCCTTATATGACTCGATGATCTTGAACTCTTGACTCTTGGATATCCACCCCCTACAAAATCGTTAATGGTATAGTTGTCACTACACCTTACATATAGGTTGAGTGCCACTGTATGTATCATATTATATATTGTATTTGGTATGTACTATACTGCTATGTAATATATTATATAATACCTAATGTAGTAGTAATATGATCAATATTTAATGCCAAGACAAAGTTGTTATAAATTAAGGGAAAAGGGATATTATATTATGTAAATGTTGTTTTTAATTTCTAATAACAAAGATAACAAAAATATATTAAATAGGAATAAAAAACCGTTCGATACGGTTGACCATGGGATTTTGGTGTTAAAACTTCAAAATCTCGGCATAAGTAATCCATTATCATTGATTTCCTCCTACCTACCTAATAGATTATTCTACATTAAAGTGGATAACCATTTATCTAATATCGCTGCTATTTCATCTGGTGTATCCCAGGGTACGCATTTATCTCCACTCTTGTTCATTCTATTCATCAACGATATTGGAGCTTCTTTCAAATTGTATATAACCTATTATTTGCGGACGACTTGAAGACTTTTCTGCCAATAAATTCGATGAATAATTTAACTCTCTTGAAATGAGACCTAATAACGAGTTTTCCAAGTAGTATGATCAAAATAATCTTTCAATTATTTCCTTTAAATGCAAAGTTGCCTCATTTAGCCGCCAAAGAAATAAACCTACAAGCACGTATAGATAAATGGTTTCGAATCACAATAATTTTCTACTATTAAGGATCTGGAAGTCTATTGTCATCAGACTTGACTTTTAATGCTCATATAGATACTATTTATAGTCAAACCTTACGTTCTATTGGCTTTTGAAAACGAAACTGCTCTGGTTTTAAAGACACTAGATGTCTTAAAGTACTATACTGCTCTTTTGTAAAGTCAATTTTAGAATTTTCATCAGTGATTTGGTACCACAAAAAAACCTAATAGATAAGCTGGATGAAATTTAACGGCACTTTCTAAGAGTAATGGCACTTAAGCTTGATCGTGTTGATGTCTCCTTGGAGGTCATAGTTATGGATTTAAGTCTTGAACCATTGGCTTCCAGGCGATTGTTTAATAACGTGGCTTTCATACATAAATAAATTAATAATAACATTTCGTGTCTCGAGTTTTTAAAAAGAATAAACTTTAGGGTTCCAGCCTTTAATTCTAGGCATAACTGCCCCGTAGTATAGTTTAGTTTTAGTACATAAATCTTCTTTCTTTTGAGTATGACAATTGACTAAGAATAATTATTATCAGTTGTATTATTATTTACAATGTGAAACGAATGAATTTTAACTACCTAATTTGAATTTCCTTATTTCCATCGTTCCTTAAATTATGTATAAGAATAATCGTTCTTGGATATTTACATTCCTATAGGTTTCTATTCTTCAATCATTTTTTCCACTGATTTTTAAGCGTTATTGGCCCTGACCGTGAATATATGTTTGATCCGCCCTTGCCACTAGTTATGTATTTTAGATATTATTACAAGCCATGAGGGTACTATATTAGACACGTACGGCTAGGCCAGCGCCGATCGATTTGTACATTTTAATCATCGTAGTCTCCGCCCGCATACCCGAAAAATATTATCCATTTTACACTTTCACGCGAAATAATTATTCACCAAGTCCACCATCACGGACAGCAAACGACATGTGCCCTGGCCGATAATTTTATTCGGAAATAATATTATTTGTACGGTAATCGGTGATAACATCATCACTATTTCTCTGTTCGACCGTGTTCGCGGCCATCGTGACGTTACGTAATCGTTTTCGCCGTCAGCTGTCGTCTAATATTAGTAATTTCAGAATATTTTTAATCGTATAAGGTAGATACTATCTCGTCAATTATTATAATAGTGGTGGCGGTGGTGATGGTGGTGGTGGTGTAACTAGTAACTAGTAGTAGTAATGGTACTAATGAATGTAGGTACCTAATAATAGTAATAAAACACGTACTATTCGCTAAATATTAATAAAAAGATACCGTGGTACAATGTCGGTGTGCGGAGGGGGGGGGGTGGATTACGCATAATGTTTATAAATAATTTTAATAATTAAAATTGAATGATATCAGGTTATCAAAAACGGTTTTATTTTATTTTTATTATTCATAAAAAAATTATTATTCAGTTTTGATAACGAAAGAATTAATAATAATATACACTGAGATAACAATATACAACCATTACTGTACAGTCCGTGTATTGTTATCTATCTCAGTGATAATACATATTTGATTATTATTGTCTTACAGTGATAACAGCTCTCGGCCGACTCTCGATTTCTATTGCGCAAAGTCGATGCATACAACACTGCATACCATATACCGTATTATACCTAGTATTGTATGTTCGGTACAACGGCCATCGTCTGTTCGTCGTGTGTCTTCAAATATTCTTCTCGATAACGCCGTTGTTTCAATCGATATCGATTGGATTTCGAATTATCGAGTTCATATTGGTTTCACTCGAGTCGTCGATAACCAAACCCTAAACCCACCGACAAAACCGATTGTGTTTCACTGTTGGACTCGGCGGTCCGACCGCGTATATCACAGACACATGTTCGTTGATCTCGGAAACTGAAATATTACCGTCGACAACATGAACACGACATACTACGACCTGGACTCTTCTCAGTACAATCTGGTTAAACGACGCCGTACCACCAATTTTCGCGATACGTATTTGCGTAACCGCGAGTATGGATTTCGGCCAAAGTATGGCGATCAAAGTCGTTTACATTGCGAAATGTATACATCTTTGTATCCCATTGCTAGATGGGAATATGATGTCTCCAACTATGACATATGTAATCCAGGCGGTATTTTCAATTTGGAATTCTCTCCAGATGGGTGAGCATTTTTTTTATTTTTTGAACAAGTATTCTATCAAAAGCATGTGTTAAAAATATACATTATATACCTATTGTGATATTTTAGGTCTGATCAGTTTTATGTAATTATTATTAAAATGCATTGCATCCTAAATTATGATTTAAAGATATGGGGAAAACTCATTAAATTGACCTTCTTTTTCACTATAAACTTATATTTTATTTTAATTTCTACAAATAAAATACTGGACCCCACTGAGTACTCATGTGGGGCTCAGGAGTTTTAATCTACATTTTTACAACTGTCTATTATCATAATCCGTACTTTAATGAAAGAAATTATGTACAGGTTATTAACAATATTTTGATATATAATTATTTACATTTTTGAATGAATGAAATTTCCAAAATACTTACTTGTTTTTTTTTTCATTTTAATAACATATTTTAACAATAAATTTGTAAATTTGTATATGATTTCATTACACAGATAGGTACATATTGCTTATATTGTCTTTCAAATATTTTATGTTTTTTAGGTAACTCAATTAACATTAAAATATATTAATAAAACAAGAGTTTTAACCTTTTAAATCACGGTCAATTCTATAGGTACCTTTATCAAGTAATCACCAAATAACTAAAACAAATATTAACCTTCATCTTTTCTTTTTTCTTCTATAATAAGTACTGTCAAAATAATATAAGTTATGAATACTTATAAATATTTTTGCGACAATTCAATCTCTGTAAGACCATAAAATAAAAAATGCTACTTTATTATATGTAAAAGAGTTGTTTCAAAGTGATTAATATTTTAACTTTCTAGTTGATATCAATATATTAAAATTCTTTTCTATAAATAATTATTTAAAAATGTATTTATAAGAATTGTATTGAATTAGTTAAAGAATATTATAGTAAATAACATAATTATTTCATAATAACAATAAATTAAAACATTTTTATTGTCAATTTTGATTTAGATTTATAATATTACTATATATTATTAATGGTAGATAATATACATTATATTCTAGGAAAATGTTGGGAGCCGCATGTGAAAACAAATGTGTAATGTTGTTTGATCCTGTAACTCAAAGATATATAACTTCTATAAAAAAAGCACACAATGATTGTGTTAATTGTATAAAGTAAGTACCTAAGATATTTGCATTATTTATTTTATTTCAAAAAATTACGTTTGTAGGCATTTATAATGCGATTAAGAAAACGGGTTAAACTTTTATAGTAAGTAGTATGTTCAGAATACCGATGAAGACAATAACATACTAGAATGGAATTATAAAGATAAATTTAAAGCCTAAGATTAACCAAACATATTTCGTTATTTTACAACTTACAAAAACCGATAGCATAAAATATAAGCAGTAGAGTATTATGGGGGAAAGCTTGGGCTGTGTTTATATATTATATTATTAATTATATATATTTAAAATCATTTAATATGATTAGGCACGCTACATTTTTTTTAAAAAAATTATGACTGCCACTAAATAATTTAAGCCCTACTCAATTTGAATGCGTTAAATCAAACTAAATTAACTTGAAATTCATAAATTTATAACTGTTTTTGTTAGGCTTGAATTTGTTTTTATATTTTTTAACGTTATATGTTAGGTTTTATTCTATTTATTATTATACTGGTCAGGCTTTTATTTTTAAAATGTACTATATGTATTTTAGATTTTTAGATTCTCGAATGTTAGCAACTTGTAGTGATGACACAACAATTGCAATATGGGATGTTCGAAATCTTAAAGAAAACATTAAGGTACTAAAAGGACATGTAAATTGGGTAAAGAGTATTGAATACTCGGTAAAAGACAATTTACTTGTTTCTAGTGGTTTTGATGGACAAATTTACACCTGGGATATAAATGGGTAAATATATTGAATAAAATAATATTTTAAAAATTAAAAATAATTTATTTGTTTAAACATATTTATAGTTATTCAGAAGAAGGAAGAATTCCTCATAATACTGTATGTCACATTAATGGACTTATGCGAATTAAACTACTACCAGATTCCAGTAAACTAATTATTTGTACAACAAGTGGATTCATCTTACTTATAAACAATTTAGACTTAGAAACACTGGCTACAGATATTCAGGGATTCAAAGTAATTTTTATTTAAATTATAAATTTAATAAAATATAAGTTGGATTAAAGAATTTTTCATTTTAAATTATATCTTTTTAATATATATATATATATACATATATATCTACATTCTATACTATTGTTAGTTAAATCAAAGTTTTAAACCATAAAATATTTATGAGACAAATAAAATAGTAATATCTTCTACATGTTATTTTACCATAATATGTTATAATATTATACCCTTCCTACCAATAATTTTTAATTATTTTGTTCTACAATAGTTGAATTAATGCATGCATTAAAAAAGAAATGGTTAACCTTTATTATGGTACAAAAAAATGTTTAAACAACATGTTTTTTATTGAGATTACCTAAAATAAATATTTTAATAAGATTATGAACAAAATTATTTCTTGGGCTTTTTATTTTATACTCATTATTATATTATACCTATTATAAATTTTTCTTCTCAATTTTATTAAAATAATACCTTTTTTGGTTGTAGCCAAACATGTATCGATTGATGCAGTTGAGTAAAACTACCATTCCTAATGCAGCTGCCCACACTCACATGTTTACTCGTAAACGAAACCGTGTTGAATTCATTGTAGATTTCCCTAGAAATGACGATGCTGAAATAATATCTTCTATCCAGGTAAAAAAATTAATATTTATTTATTTGCATTTTATTCTATGCTAATGAACAAACAAATTTATATATCTATATAGATACATCCAGAAGGTTGGAATGTCTTAAGTCGAAATGTTACCACAGATGAACAGTCTGAATGGACTTGTGTACATGATATACAGGAAATGAATGCTCCTAAGGAAAGAAACGAAACTGAAGAAATGAGTTCTGAAGAAGGAAATACATTGGAAAATTCCCTTGGCAACCATCCAATGTAATAAATTATAATTTAATTTATACAAGTATATTTTAAGTCAATCTAAAATATTGTTGTTTTCATAGGGAAGGCAGACAATACCGACGAACTCATGTAGTGATTCCTCGTGATATGAATAATGGCATGAATAGTATGATACCATTTTCTGTATTAGGACCAACAAGGGGTAACCGCCAAGCTGACTTATGGGAAGCTATGATGAATGTCAGTGGTGGAAATCGAATAAGAAGTTTGAGATATTTATCTGGTATATATAAAATTATTAAGAAAAATCTTGGGGATCAATGGATCAATTCTTGAAATCATTAAATTGTTTGTCACATAAATTGAAGAAAAGGCTGTTTTCAAAAAAAAAAAAGAATTGATTTGCTTAAAAAAATTTCTAAAACACCTTTACTTTTCTCACTTATCTAGATTCACTCATTTTTTTTTTTTTATATAGAATAAATTATATACATTTTGATATTAGGTTAATACTATCATCATATTTTATGAGTGGATTAGATCTGTCCTGAATATATTGGGGTATCAGTAAAACAGTCAGTACCTTGATAATATACCTACTCATTATTACTAAATAATGCCAATGAATCCATCATTTAGGTGTAAAATCCATAATTTAATTTTCAAAAATTTACTATTTGCATTACCCAAATTAAAAAAAAAAAAAACTTAGAAATAGTTGTTAACTAAATGGTAAAACATTGTTAACACACAACCTTTAAATCTTTCTGTAAGAAATTACATTTACAAATTTGTCTCTGCAAGTTAAAGTCACCTACAAGTCTGTAAATAGTTTATCGGTCTTTAAATAATAAATAACATTCAAACAACACCCAATTTGGTTTTCAGATCTAGAAGTGTTTGAATGGTCTTATATGTTATAGAATATTTGTGCAACCCAACCTGACTAATATAATTTTATTACGTTGCTTATTAGACTGATCCAGTTAATGGGATTGTGGTGGCCTCTTAAAGTCTTCACCTACCTGATATATTTATAATATTATTATTTTTTATTTCTTTAAAATAAATGCTAGTGAACAGTTACTCAAAAGATTCAAATTTGTAATTGATCATTTTTAGTGTATTCATTTAAATTATATTTTGATCAAATTAGTGATTTTTTTCACTTTCTTATTTATTTATTTTTATGTTTTAAGCCTCTACAAAAATATTTTGATAAGTTGTCTACCGGTATGTAATCACTAATCAGTGATAATTTATTACTTTAAGACAAAAAGTATTTTTATTAAAATTCACTCTTTCACAGGAAACTACAAATTTATCCTTAGAATACAAAACAATTTTTATTTTTTGGGTTTATTTCTTGCATACCTTGGTGACAAATTAAAAAAAAAAACAAAATCTAATAATAATAATTTAATGATCCATTATTCAGTTAAATATTTTCATTCAATTGATTTATTGTTAGTCGCATAATTGGTTATTTTGTTTTAGATTTTGAGTGCAGCAAGTTGTACTATGTATTTTTTTCAAAAAAATTGTGTCTATAAATAACTTTTCTACTTGATATCATGCTCTAGAGCAAGATACCAAAAATAATACTTATTACAGATTAGTTTATATTTTACATTATCTATAATATTTATTAAAAACTACTAAAGAATAATAAGAATAATAAGTACAAACTAGTATAATCTTATTGATTCTAATCAAGAAAACAGTATGTTGCATGTGATTAAAATAAATCAGTCAATAAATGTATTACTTTTAGCTTATGTGACAAATAGTAAAACGATTTTAAATATTGGCTTTGAGTTGTTAATTCTATGTAAAAATTAATACTTTATAATTTTTTTTTTTTTTGTAGAAGGACGGGAGCGAGTATTAGGTACATATTCTGGTGTACGAATTGTACGCAGTGCCACTGGATTACAAGAACAAGAGGATATAGATGAAGTGAATGAAGTGATAGTGGATGGACGTCAGCCATCACCAGATGGACGGGCTGAACGATTAGTAACAGTATTAATTAACCGTACTGGCCCACCTGATTTGAGAATGCGTAATTATATCATGGGAAATAATAGAGGTGAAAGCGCTAGACCAAATAGACGTAGTAACGTTGAAGTAGGAAATGTAGCGGATGCCGTGGTATTTATTGATAACCGACCACGGCGAAACAACTATGTTCTCAACTGTATGAACAGATATCAAGTACCCCCAGATCATAAAATACACAGAAACTTTAATCGCCTAACACATTTTATAGAAGAAGCAAATGTCGGTAGAGGGTTTATCAAAGAACTGTGTTATTCCAATGATGGGCGTATAATCTGCTCTCCTTTCAGTCATGGGATTAGGCTGTTGTCATTTTCTCCTAATTGTGATGAACTGTCTACTTTGCATCCAAAAGTGCCAGGTATCAAACTCAATGAGATTGGTACAAATGTATCTCATGCAAACATTGTACTTTGTACCAAATTTTCACCTATCCATCCTTTGCTTGTATCAGGTTGTATTGCTGGTCGAATTGTTTGGTATCAACCAAGAATATAACATTTATTGACTTTAGATATTATATTTTTCTTTACAATTAATTAAATTGTTCATAATTTAAAAAAAAAAATTGTTTTTTTTCCCTGTACCAATAGTAAAATTAAAATATTACAAAGCATGTCAAGTCATACTTTGTCTACTAGACATATCAATGATTTTATTCATGAAGTATATTTAATGACTGTTGTGCACACTACTAAGCGTTTCTTTTTTTCCTACTTATCCACTAAAATTTGTATAGTAAATACAAATAATATATTTTTATCTTTTTATTTTTAAATTTAGATATTGCAATAAAATATTTACAACATATTTTAATATTTTTGTCAGGACCATTTTTATATGTGATTTTTAATTTCAAGCTTAATATTGTGAGAATACATTAGCACCAAATTTGTCTAAATTTTATAGACTTATTTTTTTTTTTAGTACATAATCATTAACTGCAGTTTGAAAAATTAATAAAACTCGGAAAATTATGAATTTAATTTTTAGCCTAAAACTACTGTAAAGGATATACAGAAGAAATATTATTATTGTATTTTTTGTTTAAAAAATTAAGTGCTAAATGTTTGTGTAGCGTTATCTTAAAAGGGTATCACTTGTAACACTGTAACATTTACTGCCTCTAAAACACAATATATCAAAAATGTTTTCTTACTTTCAATAGTACTCTGAATCAAATAGACCTAAATTATTATATTTTAAAAATTCAATTTTGGGATATTTATTTATTATTATACATTTCTACTAAGATAAAAGTTATTAATAATAGTTTGTAGTATGATTAAGTTATCTTGGAAAAAAATGTCAACAAATCCCCAATTGATTATACGAAGTAATTTTTCTTATCATGAACCAGAAATTTTCTCTGAGAATTTTAAGTGAATTTGACTTTAGTTTTTTTTAATCATAATCGAATTGGTTAAACTTTATTTTAAAATAATATTTTTGAACACTGGTTTAAATAAATATTTTTCTAGACATTTTGATATACCAGGTTATCTTGGAAAGTATAAACTATTTTCAGAATTTGTTTCTATAACAAGAAACAAGCTGCTCTTATATATACTTTTATAAGGTATATGCAATAGAGATAAAAAATTTGAAATGATTTTAAAATAAAGCTAAATGTATTCCATAATATTTTTAAAAAAAAAAAAACAAATTAACTTCATTTAAAATTCAACTAGAAAATTTCTTGTTTACGATAAAAAAAAATCACTGTAAAGTAAATGTAGAGCAAATCTTCAATTTGATGAAATAATTTTTGCTTTTGGTCTATTAGACTTTGAGTACTATTGGTAATACAAACACACTTTTGCTATATAATCCATTGGCTAGAAAGAGGTGGCATACTATACTCTATTAAAGTTATGTGGCGTTTTTTTTTATTTGCAATATTTTACTTTTGTTAACGGTGTATTAACAACCTGACAAAAATCATATTTTTATTATTATTATTTAAGTTTGGAAAAAATTGTCATAGAAGAATGAATTTATTAAACTATTTAAACGATAATCAGTTTTAATACAAAATACTTATTTATTCTTATATTTGGTTTCAAAATAATTATTAAAAATAATTTGAGTTTGTTCCTATGGGCGAAATAAATTTCAAACCCTTTACGAAGAGCTTTTTCATTAAATAATATTACTAACTTATTATTATATTGATAATCACAGGCATTACATTTTAGCTTTTTATTGTTAAAGAATGCCTTAAAAACAATAATGTATTTTGTCAAAATAATTATTAATTGATAATAACATGTTTTTCAGCTGCTAAGCCTTATAGTTATTTATATTTTAGATTTCTGCATGTTATAAACAGTGTGTTTCACTCAAATTGGTACACACAATTTTTCAACCAGATAGATTTTAGTTGAAATTTTTGTTTTAGTAATATTGGGGTAGTGAAATACATATTTTGAACTAATTTTAGAAGGTGTATTTAGATATTCCTGATATTTTAAATGTAACTTCTTTTCAATCCAGTCTATCCCGCTGAAATATTTAGTATTAACCATTTGAGTGAAAAAACTTTATTATTTACACAAGAAAACAAATAAAATATCAAAATTAATTATTAAAAATATTTGTATTCAAAGCAATAAAAACAAAATAAATATTGTATTATATAGTACTTAAAATATTACAATGTATATAGTTATAGTAAATAATAATAATATATATTGTTAGTTTTCAGTATTATTTTGTGTTACTTTTTTTTTTTAACACAATTGAATTAGGCTAACTCCTCTTCTGTACAGACAAACTAATAAAATTTAGAATTGAATTTTTATTGTTTCTTTTTTACAGACATGCGTAATATATGATATACAGATATGTAATAAAAAATAATGTTTTTTACGTAATTTTAAAATAACTTAATACTAGTCTTATAACTATTTTAATATTATTAGATATATATGTATATAAACACATGGCATAACAACGCTACTTGATCCATGTAAGTGTTCTATTTATACAATATATTAACAATTCACACACTTAGAAAGAATAAAATTAAAAAATGAATATCAGTAAACTAAAAAATAATGAATCAGTAATAATAAATACAATTGACATACAAATTGCCAAAATTAATAAGAGTTTATTAACCTGTAAATGTGTTTTATAATATCCAGTAAGTACCTGCTCCATTTCTGTATATTACAAGAAAAATAGTTTTATCATTATTAAAGAGTGTTAGCCTGGGAAATGTTCATGAATTGTGATAATATTGAAGTATGTTACTATCCTTTTCTGCTGACCAAATACCTACACGAATGTAAATCAGTGAACTAAGTGATGGAGTCCGTGTTTTTTAATGTACCGTTGACGTGCTTCGTCAATCAATTTTGTTTTTCTTTCCATGAATGAACCTACTCCAAAATTGTTGGGTGCTGTGTTTTTGGTCTGCAAAATTCCATGTAAAAATTTGTATTTTAAAACAAATGTATTTTTTCAAACAGTAGTGACATAACTAGGGAGGAGGTGGTTGCAGCCTCTATTTAAAATTTGAAACTTATTTCATTATTTAGATAATGATAACAATTTATTTGTAATGGTTGATTCTATGGACCATACAATATATTTATGTGATTAAATATGTTTTAAATAGTTGAGTTTTATTTTAATTGTTTTTAAAATTTTGGTCACTGAAGTTTTACAGTGAATTTTATTTTTTAAGTTCAATAAACTATTAATTTACATTTAACAGAGTTAATTTAACATTAACACATATTAAGTTTTCAAAAAAAAAAAAAAAAATGCTATAAAGTGAATTTAAAATGATTAATAAATCAGTTAAAATTGTATAACAACGCATATACTTATTTTGTTTTGTGTAAGTATTAAAATTAAAATTTAGATTTATACTAAAAAAAAATTGACAATCCCAGTTATCTCTACTTTTATAATATTTATTCTTTTGGTATCTTTTACTTTTACAGATTAATATATAATTTTTGCAAACTTCTTTATAACATATAATGATGGTTTTAGAATAAAGATATTTTCAGTCTAAGATTAAGGGTTGAATTATAATAAATAGATGCACATTACCCTCCCTTGAAAAAAAAACTTGGTACTTCACTGGTAAACAGACAGACAATAAATAAGATCTTTGGCCAAGAAAAGAAACTATTCACCCACTGCTATATAATAATCCTTTATTTTTTTCAAAAAAAATGTTATATTTTTCTGTCGAATAGAGAAAGATTTTCTGTAGTGCTTTGGACTTAATATGTAACCGAAACCCACAGAATAAATGAGTTAAAAAATTTAGTGAAAATTGGTTTTAATTAAATGCTATTTATAACATTTAGAAATATAATTTTCAATATCCAAGACACACTGTAACCTAACATAATTCAGTATATTGTATAACTTACTATAGTCTTTGACTCTTTGGAAGACTTTGGTAATGGAGTATACTTAACAGTGCCATCGAGTATATTTGTAATTGTTATATCAACACTTCTTGTTCGTCCTAAAAAATAAAAATAATATATCATAATCCAATACTTGTTTATAATTTATAGTTAATTTACAATAACATAATTACAGTATTCTACAATTTTTTTTTTATTTCTGTTATAATTCAATTTTGTTTTTCAATCAGTTTCTTTTAGGAGGACAAATATTAAGAAAAAAATTTAATTTATATTATCACTTTAAAAATTACCAAAATAGCCAACTCTTAATAAATATATTCTAAAATATTTAATCAAATACATATACATATCTGAATAGTTTCTTAGAAATAGACATTTTAATTTCTGAAGAAAGGATGAGGCAAACAAAATATATTCAACAGACTATCAGAGTACATGATATGGTATCACAACTTACAAACAATTATCTACTGATGTTCAAAATGTAACTATTTTCACAATAAGGTGTTATTAAAAATGATTAGAAATTGAAAATATCAGAAATTTGGTGGACTACCCACTTTCTACCTATTTGTTTTCATTCAATTCCAACATAGCCAAAACTAAAAATGAATATGGGTAAAATAATAACAATACAAATTGGCATAGGCAACACCGGACGCGAGAAGCTTGTATACAAAGAATATTAAAAAATATAATTTATAGTTAAATTATTTTTTATTCATTAATAATATAATAGGTATTAAATATTTTATTTAATACTTTGTAAGTTAAACTTTGTTTAATATAATAATAAATAAATTTAAAAAAGCTGATACTGGGGATGGGAGAGATCACTATTGTAGGTGAGGAGTTGGGATGGTAGGATATATAAGGTTATTTGATTTATATCTGTATGCAACGATAAACCATTACTTGACGTAAGATGATTCTGACCGCAGTTTGTTAATACATAATTTAGAGTGCCTTCATTTTTTTTTTGTGACCTTTGTTTAAATTTGAATTCAAAAAGCTTATTAAAAAAAAAAAGTTGTATGGTGATTTTGGAATTTTATTTTTTAATAAGGATTAGAATAAAATTTTTACAAAAATCATAAATATGGCCTTGCAAAAAATCTGCTCTGAATAGTTTTTTGATAGCAATGGTTTATCATTGCTTATAGATATAAATTAAATAACTTAAATAATGAAGATAAGATACTTAAATAACTTTATGGATCTTATCTTCCCAACTTCCCACCTACAACAGTGGCACATCTGTCCCCAGTATCAAATCTTCTTTTTGGTTGAATAATTTAAAGGTAAACTCACTTAAGTTTGCAACAATAACATTACGAGGAACATATGGAAGAACGTCAGAAACTTGTGCAGCCATTCTTAATGTTTCTGGATCTTCTTCAAAATTGTCAACATGTTTCCCAGCATTTTCAGCCAATTCTAAGAAATACTTTTTTTCATATTCTTTCTAAAATGAATGTAAACATTTATTAGAAAATAGTTTATTCAATATTAACATTTTGACAATACTTTATCATTTTTAGTAATATTTGAAGTAGATATGTTGAGTTCTTGTGAAATAGCTACTTCAACCCTGGACATCAGACTTTCATCAGTCTCATCTTCAGATCTTTCTATTACATTAAGAAGTCTGAAATGAATAAAATAATGCATACCAATTTTTTAATTTGATCTACTCATGGATAATATTAATGGATAGTCCATAATGGACCACTACATACTTTTGATTTTTAAATATATATTAAAAATATTAAAAATAAATATTTTATACTAAAAATATATTAAAAATTGTATAAATAGATGGAATATTAGTTAAAATAAATTTGAGTGTTGAACATTTTTAATTTCTCTTGATCCGTTAACGAGATATTCCACTTTTAAGTTTGGGTTGGAGGAGAATAAAGGAGTATCAGTTGTGTGGCGGTACAGCGCGTTAATAATACACCACTACAACTCTCCTCCAACCAAAACTTAAAAGAGAAATATCTCATCAACGGCTTGATAGAAATAAAAAACGTCAACACTAAAATTTATTTTAACTAATACTCCATTTATTTATGGACATTTTAATATAGGTTGGCATTTGAAAATCAAAAGTAGGTAGTAGTTTTACCCCTAAAATTAAGGGTGACAAAATATAACATACATATATATATATAATTGTAAAGCAGCTTGTTTCTTATTCTACAAAACAAATTCTAAAAAAAGTTAATACTTTCTGAGATAATGAGTGAATAATAATCACTTACATGGATCACCTGGTACACATGTCCTACTTATTATATATTACTGATTAATTTGATTACACACTTACTTGTACTCAAATATAGTAAACGGAACAAACAAGAACCAAAGTATTTCAAAAATTGTTTTTGACCCAAGCACTGATAAATTAACATTAGCAAATGGTGGTCGTTTTATTGTTACAACTACTGGTTGTAAATTGTTGGATATATTAGCTGGTAATGTTGAAAATCTAATATTTTGAATCAAAATTTGTATTAAGTATGTTATTTAAGTAAAAAAAGAATATTTATATTTTATTATTTACCTAAGTAAAGCACATTTTCCATTAGTAGGGGCTCCTTCTGGAAATAAAACTAACGAATTTTCATCATTTTCATTTGATATAAATCTTTTCAACACAGCATTTTCTGTAGCAGTATTATTATAGGGTATCAAAGACACTAACCCAAAAAACAGAGCTAAAGGATCTTTTACCCTTTTAGTGGGCTGAAATTATTTTTTAAAATTTTATTTTATACAAATCAAACTTCTTATAGTAACTAAATATGACACACATACTGTAAAAGTTCCTGTTGCCAAATATATTGCAATATGATCAAATATTGACAAATAGTTAGAAACCAACACTTTGCTGTTTTTTGATGCAGAATTTTTTTTTTTAACTACTAATAATCCAAGAATACCCAGCATAATTCTTAACAATGATCTATTAACACAAAAAAATATGTATATTAGTTATCACTTAAATGTATGAACTAAATTAATATTATATGATACTTACCTACGCACATTTGGATAATGACTTAAAATTAATGTCAACACTATTGCATTAAGTCCAATAAAAACTCTTAAGAAAGCTAAAATAACTCCAAATGGAAAATAAACAATTATTCCAAGTGTTTCATTTACAGTGTTTGGAAATCTGTAATGATTAAATTGTTTTTAATTTTAATTAGTTAATTGAATTTAATTGGGTACCTATTACAGTTTAATAAACAATACCCAAAGTTTAACATGGAATACATTATTTTCATTGTATGAACAAAAACCTATTCATTGAATCACATTTTCACACCATAGTAAATTGTTCAATATACAGAAATTATAAAACATAATAAGCATAACCAATAGTTGCAATGAGGAAAATATCAAAGATTATATTGTTTCATTAAACGTTAATAAGTACAATACATTTTTTTTAAAAAGCCCGAATTATTCCAATATAACATTTACAAAAATTCTCACCTTGATTTGTCAACCAAATTCTCAACGATGATATTTGAGCTCATTGTTCAAAAAATATTTTGTACGAATTGTAACGAGCATCAAATTCAAAATAATTGTTTCTAAATATATTTTTGACAATGGAATAAAACCTTAAACCAAATACTATAATATTTTGCTAAAATATAATGAAAATAAAAATACCTATCTAAATTAAAATAAATAAATAACAAAAAGTGATAACACTGATAACATTCATATTATTTTTTTTTCACGAGTTTCTCACGATTTCATTAATGATAACATGTCAGAATAAAGTTAAAACTATTATTTATTCCCACTTCCCATGAGTCACGGTTGAAGATTATAAAAATTAATTATAATATGATTCCTGTATCAAAATAATCAAAATAAGGGAAATTCTAAGTAGACTCGTAAAAACGAATAAAAATGTAAACTTAAACACTAACCAAAATTCTTATTCCAAATAAGTAACAAAAACATAACAATCATTATCGTAGCTAAAAAAGGTAATATAAGGGGATAGTTGCAACCACTGGTGTAAGTGGGAAGTTGGGAAGGTAGGATATAGACGGGAATTTAATGTATATCTGTAAACAACAATAGACCATTGCTTACGAAAAAAAGATTCTGAACGGAGTTAAGTTGATAGTGATAGCTATGTCAACAATATATTGTTTTGTAGAAAAATAATTAAATATATTTTATATATTTTCTTTAATAAAATTTGTTTAATGTTGTACTAATTTTTCCAGTTTTCCTAAGATTTTTCCGTTTTTCCGAAGATTTTCCCGATTTTTCTCATTTTCTGAAAAAACTCTTAGGAAAATCAAAAAATGACCTCTTTAAAGTACCTTTCAAGTGAAATTACCTTTTAGAAACATTGCTATTAATAAAAATTGGAGCAAAATTGCTAGTAGAAAAGTTGTGCACAGAAAAAAAGAAGGCCGTAATATATTTTAACTAAAACTCCTGAGAAAATCGAAAAACTATCTCTCTAAAGTACATCCCCACGCCGATTTCCTATCGGGAAAGGTGCTACACGTAGAAATTCAAGGAAATCTTCTGGTAGGAAAGTTGCGAACAGACAAAAAAAAACATCTTTGTAAAACTATACGCTTCTTCAATCAACTCAGAATCTAAAAAAGGATAATAATTTATTTATAGATAATTAAGAGAAACATGTTAATGAATATTTGTATCTTTAATTGAAATTGTGCACTTAGTGTTGTTACCATAGTAACAATTGTAATACATCACAAAATATCTATATAATTTTTTACTAAAACGATTTGTGTCAAAATATGATGTTCAAATTCTTATAAAAAACCATTGCTTGACGTAAAACGATTCCGAGCGCAGTTCGTTAATACATAATTTAGAGTGCCATAATTTTTTTTTTTGCGATTTTCGTTTAAATTTAAATTCAAAAAGCTTATTAAAAAAAAAAAAGTCGTCTGATGATTTTGGAAATTTTACTACGTCTAAATAAGTCCAATGTAAGTATTATTAACAAGTTTCAAGTCTCGACGTGTATTTATAACCGAATTATAGCTCAAAAATTAAAATTCCTTAAAAAATAATAATAATAATAAAAAAATAATGAAATCGTGGAATCGTTTATTTTTCTACGTTTTTTCCACTTGAATGCTTTTAATTAAAAAATGGCGTTGAAAATCAAAAAATTACCTTTCTAAAGTACTATACAGACAACTTGAGATTTCAGAAAAGTTTCACTACGCGTAAAAAGCAAGTTAACGTGTCCACAAACTAGGACAAAAAAGAAACTAATAAACATCTTTGTAAAACCATAATAGTAATAATAACATTATTTATGAACAAATCTAAAGTAGTATTTGATTCTTATTTTAACACGTAAAAACGAAATTACAATATTGGAATCGCAGTCCACAGACATGTATAATATACGTATATGTGTGATTGAAACATAGTAATGTCAGGATCTATAGAATTATAAAGAAAAAAAATCGGAGAAATAGTATGTCTGGGAGGGGGGATCCTAGGAGGCCTCTCCTCCCTTGGATCCGTCCCCGGATGATGTGTATACGGACGCAAATTTGTAATTAGAAAACGTCGAAAATTATCGTCCGGTTACAAAGATTCCGGAGGAAGAACATGCAATAATTAATTTAAAAATAATAATAGGTATACGATACCTATATGTTGTTTATTTGATTGAGTTAAAAATACGTATACAAATTATATTTTCGTATAGCTTATAATACAGAGCCTATAAAATTGTGTTGTAACGATAAAGCGTAATGCTGGTGTTTTGCCGGTTGGCTCTGTTACACTTATGGTATAGTGTGGTATAGTGCAGACTGCGAATTAAAATATACCTTTATATATATCTTAATTCGTGATGAAGACCAAAAAAACGGAATATGTGTGATGTTGATATCTATCGTTAGAGCAGTATTTATTTTGGATTTTCAATGAAAATACACCAATGGCAGTGGCATGGGTTGCGGTGACTGTTAAGAAATAGTATAATTTTGCATTGGCTTTTGAAAAATCTCCGAGCACCACTGCTTGAACTTACCCAAGACCGTATTAATACCTATCTATACATGTTAAACTGTTAAACGCGATTTTTATTTTTTGTACCGTAGGTATTTATGGTATTTTGTCTATCCGCTACGGAAGTTATTTTTCTTATATTTTTTTTTTTTTACAATAATGAAAAACGAAGATATTAAAATCGGAATTATCGCATTTATCTTCTCGTTTATTTATAAACACACGGATATACTTATAAATACTGAATACGCTGTTTTAATATGGATAATTGATAGATACCTAAAACTCCACATCAATAGTGTCCGGGTTTTGAAACTCGAAATTTAACACGGAGGATTGTTATATTTCGTTCAACGATAATATATAAGCAACTGTGTATTACTCTATTTTATAAAAACTATTAAGGGTTTTTTAGAAATTCGACCACCGATGACCGACGCTCGCACACACGTTTTATTCCTTAAAATACGGAAATTGCGATTTGTTTTTTTTTTTACTTCAGGATTTCATTTTTTATGCATATGGAAAGAAAACTGTACTACTCTCATTTGGTTTCATTTTTTAATTTGAGTATCGTAATATAATCCACGGGCATAGAATTTGTCACTGGCGAGGCCATTGCTTTCACCCATTACCTATATAAGCAAACTCCTATGCAAAACGTCGATGGTATTATCCCGCAAGAGACCGAACGGTTATAGTAGTGTTATTACCCCTTCCAAAAATATAGCGTCATTAAAATATATGTTATAAAATACAGAAATTTAAATTGTTTGTTTAGTTTGATTTCCCTCGGTGTTACACGAGAGAAAAAATCGATATAATTTATAATATAATAATGAAAACGTATACTTTTTTCTAAACGAAAAGTGCGATCTCTGTTGTCCGGGGTTTACTTCGGAAATACCTGCTCGATTTGCGTCCTTACTAATATGCTTATGATAATATTTTAAGTGTGTTAAAAATTATTGTAATACCTATAAGATTTATGAGTTTTAAATTTAATTACAGAAACGCCTGGCTAGTGATGTTAAAGGGCGTGTACACCACGGTCAAAAATGAGGATCCGGTCGTCGAAGAACCCGTTAGCAAATTCTTCCGGTGATCAAGCTTGTAGTCAAACTTCAGGCCGACCTCGTTCTGCCGTCATTCCCACTTTACATTCCGTCTCCACAGCCAGGAGATAATACCAAAATAAAAATAAAATATGCAAAATAAAATCGGTGATTCAAAGTGAAAATACTTTAAGCCGCCACTGCGCGGCAGAGCAGGAGCACGCAACTCTGATTTGCAGAAGGTCAAACGGCAGGGCGTCGATTAGTCATCACCTCGGCTTTCCTGTTCCTCACGTCCAGCTCCTTGTGGCTCAGGATATCCTCTACCATAAAGCAGAAAGACTTTGAGCAGCGGGCAGAAGTTGACGACAGCTGATCGTGTCTGACGAGGTCCTGAGATGGGATGTTGGAATAGCTGCAGATCAGATCCTGAACATCACTGAGAGTGATGCTCCTGCGACCAACAAACGATCTGATTGACTGACGAAAAAGTTCTCAATGACAGCAGTCAAAAATCGTGAGTTCCGCCGTGTCCTCAAGGAATTGACAGTAAGTACACTCAAGTACGTACTGGGCATACCAAATGCGATACAGCTATAGGTAGTGTCTGAAGCATCCGTGACCCGATAGAGCCTGCGTTAAGTGGTATCTTATTGGTGGTAGATCCTTGAGGCGTCTCGTCACCCATCTCTTTAGATTCGACAATATCCTACGAGTCCAAGGCTCTAGGTCGCATTGTTATTGTTCGTGCGGCTCCACCTGTTCGACCAAGCAACAAGCAATATGCACGCTCGATTTTCGGATCTTCGTGGTCGACTTTAACCTGTCCGGGTGATCCATCCTCGAGCGGATCCTCTTTCTCTCAAAAGTGAGGATACCTATTTCCAAGGGGAGGGGAAGTAGGTAGGTGCCTATCATAATTCACGATGTAGGTACCTTATTAGGTTAATACTTGTATTTATATCCGTCGGTAAAATTTAAATACCTACATCATGGTTAGCGGTTATACCCATATACCATAGAAGTCCTGTTAACAAGTCTATGGTGGTATTGTTCGCTGATGGTACCTATACAATCATTTTTCTTCCAAGAGGTTATTTAAATTTAATATTTAACTTCCTTGTCGGGCGTCTTCCCTGTGACCTGTGTCCCCAACGTCTCAAACTCAAATCCCAATGCTCAACGACAATGCTCTATTCTCCCATCAGCATTTTCATTCAATTCGTTTAATTAAGAGTATTGTAACAACGTATAATTCTCTTTTATACTAAACTAATATTAAATTATGTTGCCGTTGAGAAAACTAATCTCGTTTAAACAACTGCGGTTTCAACGCTCACAAACACTACAAAGTAATTATTATAGATTTGCTAAACAACAATGAACACGTACCTAAATATTATTTACCTACTTAATGGATATTAGAATATTACACAATTTAGTACGTGTCCCACGCCAATTTTTTAATTTTTCGAGTGCGTATGTTTAATCTGTTTTAAGACAATAAATCGAAATAATATGTTTTAAATAATAACCTACCTATTGTTCTTTTCTTTGGAAGTTCTATAAAAAATATAATAGTTGTAAAACGTGGCAATAGATTTATAGTATTCTAAAATTACATAAAATATTGGATTTTATTGGGTACTTATGATTATAATTAGTGATTGTTGGAAAGTAGATAGGTACATAATGTTTACAATTTAAAAATATTTCAAGACTTATCTACCTTAATTAAATTTGTTGGTATAAATTGTCCAATAGAAAAAAAAAAAAGACTCCATTTAGTTAGTGGAGGGAAAATAACAGTCTTCTTTTAACAATTTCGCAATAACTAATTATAGTCGTACATACTTACCAAATAAATCCTTTATGGCATTTATAATAAGGAGATTTTGTCACATTGGAAAATGAGCATGGGTGTCCTTAATATTGTATTTAGGATATATATTTTATTATACATCTAATGTAAACGTACTTTCAGTATCTTTTTTGGGGAAAAAAAAGAAACCCAAGGACGAGGTAGAATTGAGTGTACAAGAACGTTTTAGATTAGTCACGATGGATGATATGCCTGTACCAAAAGGTGATTGGATAGAACATAATGCAAAAAGAAATCAAAAATACAATGCAGTACTTGCGGTCGGTTTTATTTCATTGATAGGATCTATTATAATTGTAAGTCTAATGGAAAGCTCGGAAATTTTGTTCCATCAAATATTTCCATTTTTTTTCTTTCTAATTGGTATTTAGCTCAAATAGTACTTAAATTAGTTAAACTGTTAATATTAGTTTTAGTTTTTTAATATAAATATTAGTTGACTGATGTACACATTTATTTTCTTTAAACAATATTATATTAAAAAAACTAAATTTTTTATTAACATCATATTGGAATCAGTATCTATGTTATTTTTCAGTTGAAGGACTCCATGTTTTTCAACGCATTTCCACCACCATATCCTTTCAATCCAATAGTTGAAGACGATAAATGTGATTGTCAATGTGAGTGTTAACATTTTAAAAGTTTATAACTTTTAAATGGTAAAAGCAATATTTAAACTATAACTAAAAAAAACATTGTATTTCTGGTCAAGTTATTCATTAAAGTTAATCAACTTATAATATATATTTTTGTTCAAATTAATATCTAAATGACTAACACTATTAATTGTAATTGGAATACTTGTAATATAATGTTGAAAAAATCAATTTTGTTTTGTTTTTTAATTTATAACCATACTACTGTTAATAAATTGTACCTAATCCACAAAGAAGGTTGTATGTGTTTGGATTATTTCATTGAAATAATGATCTAGTAATAATTCAAATTATCGAATGTGAACATAAAAAATTTAAAAAGGTTGCTAAATCAACTCTTAAACATAAGATTAATGGTTAAAATACATGTTACAGTTGGAGTTGAATATATTATTTTTCTGGTCTAATTTAGACCAGATAAATCTTTTATAGATAATATTAATAGAATGCCTTACTTAGTATAAATACCAAAATAACACTACATGACCATTAATATCCATACTGAATTTAATAAATATATCTATCAAGTTAATAATTTCAAACTAAGCTGAGGCAGTTTTAAAACCATTTCTAGTATTGTTAAATTCAAATAAATAATTTTATAATTATTATTTCTTAAAAATAAATTTATAATATTTACTTACCAGATAATAGAGATTAGGTATATTATAATTTAATCTGATATTTAATTTCCATATGAATTTTACAAAATTGTTTTAGATTCGGAGCGTAGCAAAGGATCTATTGGTTTTAAAATGTGTGCTTTTATTTTTATTCCATCTGTAAACAACTTTTCGAAAAGAAATTTTATTCAGATATACAGAGTACCTTTTCTAAATGAAAATTTTGTTTAGTTAGTGTATTAGAAGTTGATATCCAAAGTAGTTTTCGTAATAATTGGGAAAAACCAAAAAATTAAAATTGATTAATATTTATGTTAATGTGGCATCACAGTTATTATTTTTATTTTTGCACTTACAGAAAATATTACTCCAATCGAATATCATAATATATTGATATAGAAAGTTATTTTTGATATCTAAATTATTAGTACAAGTATATTATTTTAAATTTGTACTAACTGGTTTTTATTATAAATATTATTCCAACAGAAAAATAACAAGACCACCTTTTTTGTTGTATTTTTCATCTAGTTCCTAAAAAAAAGTTTTTGGTTTTCTTTTTAGTATTTTTAATAACTGAAAAACCTGGAAAATCCATAGTAAGTGTACATTTATGAAAATAATTCTTTTATTATTTTAAATTTTGTTTTTTTAATATAATTCAGTAAAAAATATTAATAGACATGAAATTTTGATAAAAACTTATATTTACTTACTCCTAGACGTAGTAAAACTAACAAAACATTTTTATTTGATAGATACTCGGTGAATAAAATTTTTAAACAAAGCAGAAATACTTGACAGTTTAACTGGGGGTTCAATATGTCGTACTTAGTGATAAAAAAATAAAAGACTGACATACTTTACACGTGTGAGGAGTTACTGTTGTAGTGGGAAGTTGGGAAGGTAAGATACAGACGAGAATTTAATACATATCTGTAAGCAGCGATAAATTTTCGCTTACGAAAAAACGATTTTGAGTGTTAAAATGATTACAAAAATGTGTTTCCATGATAACAATGATTGTTTAAAAACCTTTCGAATAATAAAAACTTAATAATAATAAAAATAAATAAATAAAAACAGCTGCTAATGACAACCATATTTTTAATCATTCAATTTTTTTCAACCTAAAGAACCAGGTTTTTCTTATTATCTCAAATATTAAAGAGAATTTAAAAAATAATACCTTTTTAAAGTACCATCCAGAAAACAATTCCTTTTAGAAAAAGTGCTATATTATCAAGTGATAATCGGAATAAGCTTTTTGGTAGTGTTCATATAAAAAAATAAATATTGTAAAACCAATACATTTCTCACTCTTCTCAGAATCTAAAAATAGAGTGTAATGTAGTATTTTTTTCCTTAAGTTTTAAAATCAAATTTTGACAAAAATCGTAAATTTTATGACTATTCAAAATATATAACCAAACTTTGCTTTAAATTGTTTTTATGTAACAATGGTTTATCGTTAGTTACAAATATAAATTAAATAATTTTATGTATTCCACTTTCCCAACTACTCATGTACAACAGTGCTAGGGACGGGTGTCGCCGTCCCTAGAATCAGTTTTTTTAAAATTATTATTCTCTAGACATTTTAGCTACAAGTTATTTCATCTTAATATAGAATAAATAATGGATGATAATATTTTAAGTATATTGAATTCTAGAGTGAATATTACTAATAAAAAAAATTACTAGTATTTTTACTTATTTTATTGAATTTTTACTAATATTTGTTTTTATTGATAATATATATTCAAATAACAAAAATATGTATATTATTACCTTAATAAAAGATTGTGTGGTAAATATTGTCATCATTGCATATCTAACGGACATTATAATATTAATTTGAATATTACAGTCATTTGTTGCTGTAATAATGGTATAATAAAGAGAAAAATCAATAAATAAATATTAAATAAAAGTAATTAACATAAAAAAAAGATTTATCAAATATTACTTTCGCAAGATTTATTTTTTCTTTTAACAATATAATTAAAGGTATATAACTAATCTAAGTTTGTGTTACTAATTTTATTAGTATATAAGTCTGTATTTTTTAGATTACCAAAATAATCATATTTTTTCATAAATCAATTATTTAATAAAATGTAATACATTCATCAAAAGTATAAATTTCAAATGAAAAATAGTGTTTACATTTGCAAATATTAAAACTATAAAAACATCAATAATGCAATTTGTAATTGAATACAGAAATGCAAGTAATGACTTTATACATATACTGAAGTTGAAATGTAATGTTATTGTGGAATATACTATCTATTACTCAGTCGCTTTAGCACTTTGTTTTTCCCGGAATTTCTTGCCTTCTAATAGTCCTCTTCTTTCATCTTCCAACAATCTTTTCTTAATTTCAGTGATTACTCCAGTTCCGATTGTGACACCAGCAATACGCAGTGTGAATCTTTGCCCTTGTTCCAGCACCATCGGCCTAATCATCTTCAATTCAACACTGTAAAAATGTATTTTTTTTAAAAACGTTATATATAAATATTGTTATCCATTTAATACTTACGAACAATCTTCACCAGGCATAACCATCTCTTTACCAATAATGTTTAATTGGCAAGCACAATCCCAAGTCTTTGAATACATTTGCATTTGCTGAAAAGGTACAAGTGGTTTGCCATTTCCACCTTCATCTTTAGTTAGTACATATAACTGAGTGGAGACAAAGTCCTGCATTTTTACAGTTCCTGGTTTGGCTAACACCATACCACGCCTTAAATCATCACGTTTAGTACCTTTAATTAAAGCACCAAGTTGATCTCCAGCTTGAGCCTCTTCAAGAATTTTGTGAAACATTTCAATACCTGAAAATATTAAAATTAATAAATGTTATATTAAAAAAAAACTAAAAAAACATGAACAATAATTATTAATAGTAGTTTCATTTTTATTCATATATACAGTGAAACTTTCTCAAACGGACACCCACCAATAGCAGACTGTTTTTTGGGAACAAGGCCATTTTTAATACTTTTTAAAGAAAATACCTCCAAAGCAGACTCTCTGAATAGCAAACACTATTTTAATTTTTATATAAAAATAATGAAGAAATGACTATACCAAAATGTACTCTCGTAATAATGTAAGATAACAAACTCGTTATGGAACAATAAGATTATGTCGAATTCGGTTATAAGCTTTATGACAAAAATTAGTCAATATAATATGTCATTAGTGTTGGTTTTTGACCTGATGTAAAAACAAAAGCGGTTTTCGCTTTGTGAAAAATTTGACATTTTAGATTACCATAAAAATAACAGAAATGTAGGAATTCATGCATTCGCCGAAAAGTTTCAAGTTGGAAAAACACAGATCACGGATATCGTGTTAATTGTAGTGGTCTCAATAATAACCAAGACAATTATTAAGAGGCAATCGCCTTAAAAAAAGATTATTTACAACAATATAAAAACAGTTATACAAGAATAAATTAATACTGTAATACGTGAGCATACACCCTCATGTTAGGTGAGCGACGGAATAATAATTAATAAAATAATAAAAACATAATATAAATCTCGAGATATTAATCAGTGTGCGATTATAATTTATTAATACAGAAAGTACCTATTACGCAATTATGGCATTAATAAGAAAATAACCATTTTTAACAGTGTGAATATTTAACACAAAACAAATATCCACCAGTCATCACACTAATAAAGAAGAAGTATGGTTTGAAAATGAAAATGACAAACGTAAATTAACAAAATTAAGAAAATGTAAAGGCAGTGTGATTGATACCAAATTTTTGGTCTGATTTAGCAAAATTCGGGGGGAAAAAAATGCCAATTTTTAGATCAACGGTACAGAAAAAAGCTAATCAGATTGCTTGAGTTCATGGATTAAATTACTTTAAAGTTTCAAATGGGTGGCTTGAACAATTTCAAAAGAGGGGTAACATTTTGTATAAATATTTTTATGGGGAAGCATTAGCCGTTGATAGAACAGCTGTTGGTGACTGGAAGAAGAATTTACTAACATAATTGGTAAATATGAAGAGAAAGATATCTTCAATGTCGATGAGACCGGGCTTTTTTTTCGAGTTCTACTCAATAAAACTATGGCATTTAAAAATGAAATGTGCAGGGATAGAAAAGTTTTAAAAAAGAACGGTTGAATATTATGCTGTAATATGATAAATGAGTTTGAACATCCTCTTGTCATAGATAAAACAACCGCGAGCTTTCAAAAAATTAGATGTAAATAAATTCCCTGTTGACTGGTTTTGGAATAAAAAGGCCTGGATGACGACATAAATTAGGACAAACTAGCTTACAAAGTTCTATAAACAAATGATAAAAATTCAAAGAAAAATACTGTTTTTTGTCAACAAATGCACTAAATTTTTAAACTGAAAAATGTCGAATTAGTCTTTTTTTCAATGAATAAGACGTCTCACTGCTAACCTCTGGACCATGACATAATCCAACAATTTAAAAGGCTTTATCGTAAGCAACTGTTACAAAAAACTATTGCTGATTTAGATGCTAGTGACTAGTGCTATTAATGTTTTAGACTTTGTGTATTCTACTCAAGCCCACGTCAAGTCTAAAACTTTAAAAGTGCCTCTTGCGATGTCGTTTCAGTCGCTGAGACTATATAATGAACAACCAGAATAAAAAATTGATACCATAGAACAATTGGCAATAGATAGAGAACTCACATAGAGCTCTTATTACACTGATCGACAGGAGTGTTGAAGCAGACTTTTATTTTGAATTGGACGAAATTATTTTACTTATGACGCCAATTTAATGAGTATCAATGAGCCCAAAAATGAGAAAGTAGATGAGTCTGAAGAAGTAGAAACTTTAAAATTTTGAATTACAAGTTTATAGGACACTGTCTGCTGTAAAGAACGTTGTCATTTTATTTTATCAATAAAAATAGAGACAGAGTACTATTTTCACTTCTACTGTAACATTAGCGAATGATATTACTAATGAGATTGTGTAATTATAAACAGGCAAAGCTCACTGATTTATTTTTTACATAAATAATTTGTATAAATTTAATAATTTGCAATAATTAATAACATTACACATACATAGTACATTATTGCAACCTGAAACATGTGTTTTTCTTTTAAACATTTTAAAATCTACCCCCTCTGAATAACAGACACCTCCAAATAGTAGACAAAATTTCAGAGACCGAGTGTGTCAACTATTTAGAGGTTTCACTGTATATCATTATCTTTACTAAATAGTATATTATACAATATATTTTATGGAACTACAAAAATGAATAATGTAGTATTTATGTAAACAATAGCTACTATATATTGGCTAAATAATATTATGAACTCATTAATTGAATCAAAGGCAATAATACCATAATAACCAGATTTTCAAATCTAAATAAAAAATATTAAAATTATGGTCTACCATATCTCATGATAATTTTAGTATTAGTGAAATAGTATAGTTGGTTCGTAGAAAATCAACAATATGTATAGAATATGAATTCAAGCAAAAATGAGAAATTATTGAAAAATCTGGTTGTTATAGACATAAGTTTAAAGGTATCTAATTTTAACATTGACTGTCTAGTTATGATTGTTTTACATTATAAATACAGTCAATCAGTTTAATTCAGTCAATTCAATTATTAAATACTTGATACCTTCATTTTTTTTTATTGATTAAAACGGCTTCTAACTTTTTATTAAAACCGTAACTAGATTAAATTTAAACTGTGAAACCTAATAATAAACAAGTATTAATTACCAGTAATTGTGGATTTTATAACTTTGTTATAACCAACAAATTCACATTCATTTCCTTTTTTTATTATACCACGTTCTAATCTACCAGTCACTACTGTACCACGTCCTGGAATGGAGTAAACATGTTCTACTGGCAACATGAATGGTTTGTCCAAATCACGAATAGGTTGTGGAACATATTTATCTACTTCATTTAATAAAGCTTCAATAGATTTTTCACCTATAAAAAAAAATAAATAAATTAAATAAATATTATCAAAGTAAATGTAAAAAAACTATTTAAATTTTATTACCAATTTCAGGTTCTCTTCCTTCGAGGGCACACAACGCTGAACCTTTAATAAATGGTATATTTTCTCCATCAAAGCCCATTTCAATTAGTAATTCTCTAATTTCCATTTCTACTAATTCTACCATTTCCGAATCAGCAGCATCTACTTTGTTAATGAATACAATAATATGATTGACTCCTATTTGTTTAGCTAATATTAAATGTTCTCTAGTTTGAGGCATAGCACCATCAGTTGCAGCTACCACTAAGATAGCTCCATCCATTTGATTTGTTCCAGTGATCATGTTCTATATACATACATATAGATACAAAATACATTTTAATATTTTACTATAGTTTTTAGTCACCTTAATATAATCTGCATGTCCAGGGCAATCAGTATGACTGTAATGTCTAGCTGTGGTTTCATACTCAACGTGAGCAACATTAATAGTGATACCACGGGCTTTTTCTTCTGGAGCGTTATCAATATCAGTATATTGTTTCATCTTAGCCATTTTTTTGGATGACAAAACTATAAAACAATTATTGTAAATAAGATAATATATTTTCTTTAAATTGAAAAAGGAATTAATATTTTATTTTAAACCAAGAATATTTATTTAATATGTTCTATCATTTTTATTAATATTAGTTTTCTTTGAGAATCTGATTATGAAATTGCTATTTATTTAGAGATAAAATTTATAAAATATTATAATGGCAATGAAATTTGATAAAGTTTTTCCTTTTTGTTAGAGATATATTATAGTAGAAGATCAGTATAGACAATTCAATTTGATGAAAGCTAGATTGTCTTCAACTTTACATTAATATAGTCACAAAGAAGACTATGGGACAATTGCTGATAAACCAGTTTGCACTGCCATGCCAAATTATCTGGTAATGATTGCAACTACAGTGAAACCTTTGAACAGTGGATACCCTTGGTCGCCAAATTTTTGTCGTATCTGTTATTCAGAGGGTGTACATTTTTAAAATTCATTAAGGATAATGTGTAAAATAAAAAACTTGCACCAAGTTAAATTAAATTATAATATAAAATATAAATATAATTATGTATATTATACTAATCATGTAGATTTAATAATATAATAATTTTAAATAATATATATAATATATATTAATAAAACTAACTTTAATAGGGGTCTGTTATTCGTAATAATGGTATAAATAATCATAAAAATAGTGTCCGCTATTTAAAGGTTTTTCCATAGAAAATAGTGAAAATATCCCCATTTCCGAGAAAACGTCCCTTATTGGGAGGCGTCAGTTAGAGAAAATTTCACTGTATATATTTGTAAGAAAAACCTGCCACATCTAAGAAATAATGCAGATAATTTTTAATACCTACCTATATTATGTTTGCAATTCGCTATTAAATCTAGAAATAATCATTATATGCCAATATAGGCTCAAAAATGTTAAATGTATACAAAATAAGTTGGTGGATTTAAAATCTAGACTTCATAAATCAAGTGAACATCATAATTTGGTATAATTCCGATAGTGATAAAAAAAAAAATGCAGCCATAAACATTTAAGTTGTGTCATTAATATGAGAACACAGGAATTAAATAATAAATGTTATGTTATTACTTTTAGTAATAGCAGCTGTAAGTGTTGTTTTGCCATGATCAACATGCCCGATAGTTCCAATGTTACAATGTGGTTTAATCCTCTGAAATACTTTCTTCTCTGAAGGTGCTGCATACCTGCGGACGTGACTTACTACTGGACTTAAGACTGTGGCATTTTTTTTGTATAGAGTATCATTCAAACACCTCTGCAGGGGAACATTGTATCTCTACAGAAAACCAAGTAGGAAGTTGTTGAAATAAAAAATTTTCCGTCACAACCGCACCATGTATACTCACATATAGTGTCTGAAAATAACGATTCAGCTGGGCCGCCGATTTGTTTTTAGGTACTGAAAACAATATAATATGAAAATTATTAAACCACACGTTCCCACGAGATGAATAATGGTTGGAACCTACGTGTATAACATATTAGTTTGCTGGTCTTTAATATGGTAGCCATAATTACGTTTAACGACAATAGTATATACGGGCTGGAAATTTATGAAACGATTGCGTGAAAACTAAACTGGATAAAAGTGAAAATTTAATACCTATTTGAATTTTTTTTTTTATCAATAGGCAGTCAGCGAATTTTTTTAGACTCTACCCTCCTCGAGTTCGACATCGCCGGCGATTTTACTATTCATACAATCGCGTATGGCTTTTTGTCGAGCATGTGATTTTGAACTCATGGAAGAAGAATAAAATCGTACATTTTGTCGGAATGATAACACATTGGCGGTAATAAAAATTTAAAAATGTATAGGAATATAATGACTATTGATACTTATTTGGTAATTTGGTTAATAATTAGCTTTGGGTGTAAGGGAAAAATCATGTATATTAAAAATATGGATGGGCCAACCTATTGTATTCACGATTGCTTGAAGAGCTATACAAAATAGTTACCATTAATGGCATAGTATATAACAGTGGTTATCATCACGGTCTTAGATTATTTGTCACCAGATTTAAAGATATCTTTAATCGTGTTTAACACTATGGATCATAGATTCATAGCTGATAATAAATATATCTTTATTCTTTAATAAATAATATTATAGTCCACAGATATAGATAATAAACTAGATTACTAACTAGTGATAACAGCAGATGCCAAAAAAAGCCATGTTGGTTGTAAGTTCGGCAGAGTGTTATTACAACTACGTGGTACCTAATCTATCATTTGGCGGGGAGTATTTCAAATCAAATTGTACATATTATCACAGATATTGGTAATAATCTGAATTATTACCTATATAGGTACATAAAAACATATTATAATGAAAAATAAATTATACACGTAAATCATTAATAAAAATGATTGTGAAAAAATAATAACATTATTTATAATTATTAATTAATAATAAACAATATTTGATAGTAACATGTAAAAAAAAAAAAAAAAAACAATAAACAAATGAGCATATGCATTTTAAATGTTATGATATTTTAACCTGTGTCTTGACTTTTGTTTGCACAAGTGTAAGTAGTGTAAGTAAAATGTCACTAACTTGCTGTGTGCTTGAATATGTGAATAGTTATGGTCGTGATAATGTGGTTTTTTCAAGTATGCAAATGTATCAGTATTTTTCAACACGGTCATTTATACATACAATTTTACTGCACTGTTACAATTATTTTACTCGAATCGTTTTTGTATAGATTCCCAAATAATAGCGTAGTCAAAGAAAAATAGATAATTGCTATAAAAAGACAAAATTTTATTCCAACATATTACAGGATATGTAATATTCATTTCGCTGATAATGATTTTGTACAACGGCCAGATATTATAAATAATAAATTTAATATATAAATAATTACATTAATTATTATTGGAAATATTTCTGAGATCATGAACTAGGATAAAAACAAATTGTATATGATCTCAACGATATAAAAATTAATAAAATACCATATCCTTCAACCAATATGGCGGAAAAGCGGCATCGCCCGGCCTGTTTTGTGAATTTATACTAGTTAGCAATCTAGTTTATTATCTATATCTGTGTTATAGAGAATGATTAACAGGTATCTAATAATCTGATATATTTAATATTATTTATTTTCTGTTCTATATGTTAGTAGATATTATCAAATTAATAATTAGTAATTATAATAGTTAATAATAATAATTAAATATTATTGCGTATTTTACTTTTAATAACTAAATAATTCAATTATTATCGTGTTATTATTAATTATAATCATTATCAACAATGAGTTAACCATATTCGAATAACTCCCATCACTTGGGTAACTTTGGCATTGTCTTTGGAGAAATACAAAAAAAAAAAAATATAGCTGATAGGTACTGCAGCTGGTATTTTCTGTTCTGAATTTATATCAGTAAGCAAAGATAAACCTGTTCTCTTAACATGTTTCTAAATGCCTTAATATTTACGATTTTCATCAAAATTTAATCTAAAAACTCTTATAAAAATTTTTATTCACACAATACCTACTGAAGGAAAACAAAAAAAACAAATTTAAAAATGTAAAGTTCCTACAAGGCTACAAATAGCTTAAAAATTATCAAAATTTGTTGAAAATTTTACATTTTGAAAATGTCGATATGAGTTTTTTTTATCAAAATGTCAGGTTTTTACAAGTATTTTTAACCGAGTAACAACAAAAATAATAAAACAGTTATTTCTAGGTTTTACCTAATTATTTAGAAAGCAACACGGGAAATCAAAAAACAACCTTCTCACTCACCAACTAGATCCAAAATGCAACGGAAAATGTCTCTTGTTATCATTTCAAGAAAAAAAAAAAATTAATAATAATCACCTCAATGGAATAGCATCAGGTTTAAGTTTACGCTTATCGGCGCAGTTAGTTTTATTCTATTCCAGTGGCGTCGGAGAACGGGGAACAGAGGGGGCAATTGACCCTTCAGATATAAACCAAGGCGGGCAAAAGTATACTTTGCCCTCCTCCCCCCTACCACATTCAAATTAAAAGGTATGCAAACGTGAATCACGTTTAATTTATATGTTTACGAATTAAAAATTGGTCTCATTTTCACGAATGTGCGTAATTATCGTTTTGTTATTATTATTTTTTTAATATAAACATTAATGCGTACAAAAATATTGAGTAATTTTTTTTTTTCTAGACATTTCCGTCCGGAGCGCTTTTGCTTAATCAAAGTGTATCGGGAAATTCCACGAGTCCCGGATAGTGTTCTCACAGCACACCATACTGCCTGTTATTCTAGTATCATTTACAGACTATTTACGGGTTTTTACGGTTGCGTTTACGATTGGGTTCCGAACGGCGATCAGTGAACGGCCGATTGCAGTTGTTAAATGAGCCCGCTGTCGCGTAATATGCGTTGTAAATTTATCATTAATAATTTGTAACAATTTACAGTGACGTCGGTGTTGTGTAATATATTCGACATTGTTATATTTACCAAGTTTAATTGTTTACACGCGTTACGCGTACCAGCGACGGCCGTTCCCGATCGCCGAAAAAACAACGGAGACATTTTCAAATCGAAAACACCGGAGAAAATTCAGGAACTCGTGCACCTACCGCGGGTAAGTTTAAGACATACTTTCGAGTTTCAGATAAATCAGTTTTATTAGTTGTAATTACGATTAATTACAACTGTGGTGGGCAGGTGCCCGGTAAAATAAATTGTTATGGATATTAATATTAGTAGTGTATCGATTATCAATACAAATCAAACTAGTTCCGAGTTGACAAAACAATATATTTTTGCAGAACGGATAATACATTTTACTTTTTAGATATTTATTTTTCGTTTCCAACGAAAATATATTTCAACAACTTACGCAGTTTATGAATGTTTGTGGACCGTAGTACAAAATATGTTATAGGCACCAAACTGGATTTAACTAAGGTATTTTAATATAACGATTACCTACTTGTACATAATATATTATTAATATGGTATGGACATGGTACTGTGGTATTGCAATTGACGGTTACATTTAATTTAAATATAAGTGAATCGCAACTTTTAAACATTTTGAAATCGTATAATAATTAGGACTGTTATTTCGTAGTTTCATATTACCAACCGCAGTTCTTGAACATCATTGTCATGTTACAATTTCTCTGAATTGGGTAGTATAAAACAAAATCTACTGCCATTTTGTCCAACTAGATTGTCTGTAAGGGTTAAAAGTTTAACAAGATTTTTAGATAACTATAGCAGAGTTTAAAAAAACATTTGATGAAATGTTTTCATGGAATGTTTGTAAAGAAGATGCTAGAAAATCAATACTAAGAGGATATGTGAAAAAATTAAAAACAATGTTTTTTTTTTTTTATTATTGTAAAACACATCTATGGTTCTGTAGAACAATTAGCAAAAGTGTTACAAAATCCTAAATTTTGTGCATCCGATTCAATTAAAGCTGTGGATACATTGAAAAAAAATTACTATCATTCAGAACTAATGACAATTTTGATAAGATATTAAATACTGTGAATTTACATGCTGAAATATATGTATTAGAACCACAAGACACTAGACGCATCCAAAAAACACCAAAACGACTTCAATACACAAATAACTCTGCTACAAAATTATCACCAATATGTGAATTGAATAAAGATATGTTTAAAATAATTGACTATTTGATAAATGCAATTTATAGACGTTTTAATCAACAAGGTCTAAAAAAACTTGGTTAAATTAGAAAACATACTTGTAGATCAAAATACAAAAACTCACCAAGAACTTACTAATTGTTTAAATAATATGAATGAGGATTTTGACATAATTAGGCTTCATGCATAGTTTATTATGTTACCATATATAGTATCTATCACTAGTATTTCAGATATTATTTATAATTTGAGAAATGAATATTTAAATGTAAAAGAGTCTTTGTTTTCTGATTTCACCAGATTTATTAAACTAATTTAAACAATACCAGCATCTGCAGCGACCGCCGAGCATTATTTTAGTGCATTGATAAGATTAAAAATATATTTGAGGTCCACAATGACCCAAAAGTGATTAACTTATATGATGATTTTACACCTTCATAAGTTTATGACTGTGTAAACATTGATTTGAAATTAATTGCCAAAGAATTTGTTTTCAGAACTCCTCAAAGGAAATTAACATTTAGAAATTTTGATTAATTTTACAGGTAACAATTGATATATTGTTACTTTCGAATATAAACTTTAGGTATATAGTAAATACGTTTTATGTATTGTTTCAGTATATAAATATATAAATATAATTTATATTTGTATTATAATTATATCAATATATTTATATAATTCATATAATATAATATATTACCTATATCAACATTAAAAGAATAAAATATTAAGAAAGGTTTTCTATTATCAATCACAAATAAATGTATAATAGTTGTTAGGTTTTTATGTTTTGCCCCCCCCCCCCTCCTCATGAAAAATAGTTCCTGTGCCACTGTTCTATTCTGTGATATAATGATATGGAGTGAAATGAAGAGAGCAAATAACAGCTAAAATAACATTGTTCTTAGTATAGACATATTAATACATGTTAATAAATATGTCTATGGTTTTTAGTCATTAAGTCCAAATAATTTGAATCAATTTTTATATATTTATTACATATAAATATAATATAGTGATTTATTATAGTTTTGTGAAAACTGACCCCATTCAAAATTAATAAAACTCTTTTTAAATCCACATTGTGCTTGTTCCTGCCATAATTTCCTTAAATAAGAATCTTCAAGAAACCTATGCAAAATTACTGGACGAAGCACCAGAGAATTTCTACTAGGGGGGGGGGTCAATAATTGTTGGCCCTTTTATCATTTTCAATTATTTTTCCAAATGAAATACTTGTAGGGGGATTCTCCCTCATTCACCCTTAGGCGGTATGCAATACAAAGAATCTTATTAATTTATAATTTACTTTTGGTTGGTAGTTGGTTAAACAAATTTGTTTCACTCCAAGTATACCCATAACAGTAATAAAAAAAAAGTACCTGATTAAAAAAAAATACAGAATTACCTATATCTTCACTTTTCGAATATATTTTTCGTGCTATAAAAAATAAATCTACCTACATATTTAGAATATAAGCTGATTAAATTTCTCAACTTCTATTAATAAAAATTAATTTATTCCTGAATACTAATCAAAAATAATTTTGATAGTTGATTTTTAAATTAACTTTAATTTTTAAACAAATTCAAATATTTAAATAATTACACGTTGTACAAGTAGAACATATTAATAATACAGTACCTATTAAAAGTACTTATGTAAATATTAAACAATTCAATATAAAATAATTTTTCTGTTTTTCATCCCGAACACCCCTTTTTGCTTATCACATGTCGGTTGAATAATATTCACTATGGGTGCGGTTCACTAGTTAATATGTCTATGCAACAGAATAAAATTTATTTTACTCTAGATGAAGAAGTTTATTTCTGTGTAAATATTGGTGTGACCCGGCATTACCCTTTCAAATTTGTAGTCATTCACATTTTAGGAATTTATTCTATGATTTATTTGTGTCTAGTTAATAACATATATTTAGTCTTTTCTTCATTGATTTGCTAAACCACATTGGGTAGACGTTAAAATATTTATTTTCATACTATACGTATACAAATCTGTAACAAGATCTTCTATATTTCTTAATAACTATTAATAATAACAAATTATCTGGATGAGAATATAAAAATGTGGACATTAAATGAATTTGATCTTCAATCAGCCGTCTTTAATTGGTTGAACAAAAAAATACATTATCTATGAAGTATGAATACAGATGTCATAAAATAAGAATGATATCTAGAGGTTTTTGTTGAAGCCCAAGAAAAATATGATTTATTCAAATATAATTGAACTTGAAAAATACATTTTAGCAATATTTATCGTTGCTAACAGATATAAATTATATAACTTTATGTATCCTACCATCCCAACTTAGAACAATGGCACATCTGTTCAGGGCTAGCAATTATGATTAATCTAAATTATTTTGCCATGGGCAAACAAGGCTAATCAAATTCAAATGATTTTATTTATTCTCCTTTAAATTTAAAATAAATGCAATTTTCGACTACCGTGCAATTTTTTTTTATACTTGCCGACTATAAATTCATTTTTTATACTTTCCCTATCGTCTACCCTGCACTCGTCCCCAGTATCAGTTATTTTTTCTCGATTATTACAGTGTTATCAAATATCACAATGACCAAATTTTTAAATTTTTAAATTTTTAATATTTTAGGAACCGTCTACTAACATGTATATTATAAAATGTATAACCTTAAATCTGATTACCAAACCGTTTAATATTTACATCGCCAAAACACGTTTATTATATTATTATTACAAATACAGTGATTTTGTTTCATTGTGTTTTGTACGCCATCTATGTTATATCAGAAACTACAGTTTATTTTCAGTTTTTGTGTTTAGATGGCAGCACATATTGTAATTGTTCACGATTTAATATTCGAATAACCTATCCATTTATTATTGTAAATAGATTTCTCTATTTTTTTATTGAGATTTGAATTAATTATTGTTAGTAAATTTAAATAATTTAGAAATTTTAATTTAATATGTATAGGTATTGAAATATATTTTTATAACTAAAAAATAACATTTGTAAATTTTCTTGGTATTATATTAATATTTATTTAGTAAATTGAATTCTTCTGTGTTTCTATTTAGTACATTTATAATCGTTGTAGGATTTTGAACAATTTTTCGAATTGATTTCATTTCTAAATTATTATGAAAACTTGTAGAAGTCATAGAAATTCGTAAATATGTTTTGATTTCTTTTCACCGTGATCGTTAATAAATGACGTTTATTTGATAATTGAATAATGATGTAAAAAAAAAAAAAATAATAAAAACTAATTTAGTAATAATTACTAATTATTAGTTGAAGATTCAAACAAATTAGGGTAAGTCTGAATCAACCAGGCTTAAAATTAAAGAAAAAGAAGCTCACTTGAATTTTCCGTATTTACTGTGAAAAATGTCGACGATCAGACGCGATGTCAATATGTTTCGCACGATTTGTCTATTATGATATTGGAAATTTTTAAATTTTTAAATGTACGAAAAGAAAAAAACATTTTAAAACTAGATAAAACGTTTTAACAATCGCAGTGTTAATAAACAGTTGCGAGTGCAATAATAATATTGCGACATTGGTGTTTTAACGTAATTCTGTATTCGCTCCTCTTGATATTAGAAGTTTATAGTTTTTGAGAACAGACGTAAATGGTTGAAAACGAAATAAGAAACGGGCCGAATGTGGCGGTACAATTTATTTGGGGATGGTGGTGGGGGGCATTACTAAAAATTACGGTAACGACCTCTTTTTTTTTTTTTCTTTTTTCTTCTGCCCATCCGCCCTCTCGGTCAAAATCGTTCAGTTTAATTTAATTAACTATTAATCGGTTCGTCGACACTTTTAACGGCGGGGCCGTGTCACGAGACCGTCACGTACCCGGGGATTCGACACTGACCGAATCATCAGCCGTGATCGTGTTGGTATATTACAGGCGTGGGCGCCTCCTCCACTCCCCCCCCTCACCGAAACAATAGTTTCGCCGCGTCCGTTTAGACGGCGCCACCGGAATCGCGCGATAAACGTAGGCGGGCGCCCGCGTGCCGCGCGGTTCGTTTCGACGGAGACGTTTTTGTCCCGCGTGCCGCGCGACGATTGTCCGTTGTCGTCGGCGGAGAAACGAATAACGACGGCGAATCGGTAATGTCGCGGTCGGCGAGGGGACGGCGGTCGGGACGCGGTCAAAGGCCCGTCGCGTTCGTTTCGGAATGTCAAAGGCCCGTCGCGTTCGTTTCGCAATGCCCGCGCGAACCGGCGGCGGCGGCGGCGGCGGCGGACACGTATTATTATTATTGTTATTGTTATTATTCGAGCGCGCTCTCGGACGGGGGACGCTTTGCTGGCCGGCTACTCGTGTCTGAAAAGAACCGCGCGACTGAGACGGCGTTGCCGTGCGCGCACGCTTACGCGCGAGACGCGGACGCGGGGTGCGTGTGTGTGTGTCGCGCCGTCGGATCGGCGTGCCTCGTCCCCGTCGGCCGCCGGACACCGGTGTCTTGAGTCCGGGTCACCGATGAAATGATCAATTAACTCGAATTACCGCGTTCAGACGGGACGCGCGTGTCCGAATGACCAGCAGTGTTGCGCACAGTGTACGGTTTCAGGAGCGCTTGTTCATTTAATATATTATTCAACAGAATCATTATATTGTTATGAGCGCGAGCGCCGCCAGTTTTGATACCGACAGATTAACCGTCGAAATTAAACAAATATTATAATATGTACATTTTTTTTTTTTTTTTTTTTTTATTAAATTACGTAGTTCAAAAAAACAATATTTACTCGACATGCGAAAACAGTTAAAAAAAATTTAGATTCGCATTTAAGAAGATCGGGAAATAGGTTATGAAAATCACCATTTTCTAATCCGTCCCCAACAATAGTGGGATGCACCGACTGGAACCTTTTATTATTTATTTATTTTTTTTTTTAATTTTTATTACGTCTTCTTTTAGGCAACAGAGCTGGTAGTAGAGCTTCTTCTATTTCCACGGTTGTGTAAAAAAAATACATAATAACCGTATTGAATCGGACAGTCGTGTACGACCAGGGTGTCTCGTGTGAAAGGCGTTCACACGCGAAACGCCTTTTGCGCCTTGTAGCGCGATTCTGGCGGCCGGCCACAAAGTGTCCCGTCTGAAAGCGCGCGTCCAGTTGTCGTCGTTATTGAACGTACGGTTCGATTTCGACGTCACGAGCGCGCAGCGGCACTACGGCGTGCGCCGCCCGGTAATATAACAGCGTGTCATTGGCGCGCGCGCCCGCGTGTTTTTCGGATCGAAAACGCGTCGGGAGCGCGTTTCCCGCGTCGCCGACTCCGGCGCGCCGGGCCGCGCGGTTCATGACGGCGCGCGCGATATTGATTATTTTCAATTTCGATGCAACACCCGACGGGTCGTTATAAAACGGCGCTCGCGGAGACGGCGTTCTCACGCGGTCAGACGCCTACCACTCGCGCCGCGCGCGGAGGAGTCGCCGTGCCGTGCCGTTGTTGTGCGCGCGTACGACCAATTAACCCAACCGGGACTGGTTTCGTTTGGTTATTTTAAATTACAACTAATCTCACGGCGATGATTTATCGGCCCGGCGCTGTTGCCCGCGGATTCCACTCCAGTTCATCAGAAATGTACGAACACGGTGGAGCGGAACGCCGTAGCGGTGCGTACGACGATGGTGTTTTGTGCGCGCACAATTGCGGGCGATCGCAGGAGGAAATATCAAACGGTTGCGCGGCGCAAACGTATCGTTATCGTCGGTTAAACATTTAAAACGTATAATTCGGACAAATGAAACAAAACCTGGACCTCGTTGACGGCTTGCAGATAATTAACGTCCCTCGCAACACTCCAGTAAACAACCGTTTTACACTAGAAATCCGGCTCCGATTGGTGACTTTTTTTGGGGGGGGGGGGCGGCGGCGGTTTCTGGTAGAAAGCGTTTTCCATAGCTGGTGCGATGAGGTAATTTTTTTGTTTTCCATTGTAGCGTGCTGAACAAATGGGAAACCCCGAGAAAAACGTCGGAAAAATTGTGTTATTTACACAATAACGGTTTCTGTTATATTTGATTTGGTTTTTTTTTGATTTTTTCTTGTCATACAGGTCGAAAATTTCCCTTAAAATCCTCCGAGATAATCGTTGGTTCATGATAAAACATACATCGCACGATGGGCGGACGACTGTTGTAGTTGAACAGTTGGGAAAGTAGGATATAGACAGGAATTTAATTTATATTTGTAGGTACACCATTGTTAACGAAAACACGATTCTGAGCGGTGTTCGGATAATGGCGTTGCTTTGTCAACAATATACATATATTATATATGTCATATTACGGTAAAATAATTACATATACAATATTTATGCACCGTATATTTTCTTTAATATGGTTTGTTCAATATTATTCATATTTTCTCGTTTTTCCTAAGTTTTTTTTTCATTTATTGGAAAAACTCTTGGGTAAATCAAAAAACGACCTCCTTAAAGTACCACCCTATTCAGATTTTCTTTCAGAAAAAGTGCGATCATCAATCGGAGCAAAATTGCTGATAGAAAAGTTGTCCACAGAAAAAAAAATATAAATATAATTAATACATTCCACACTCTATGCTTTGAATCGAAAATTCGCTCTGTACTTAAATAATACGCATAATTATCAAAATTGGACATGTTCAATGATTTTTTTTTTTTTAACTAGTTGAGCTATTACTCATTACTAGAGCACGGAAGGCATTTGATTTTTTTTTTCTATTGCTTTAAAACGAAGTTATGTCAGCTACAAATTCGATTTATATTACTTAGAATAAAATGCACGACGTTTTATTTTGCTTTTTTACGGTTTTTTGTATATTTATGCGTTTTTGGGCACTTTTATTTGCTTTGAAGTTACATTTTGAAAAAATGAAATGTGTTCTAAATAAATGTATTTGAAATGTTAATATTTATTTTTATAATATTATATAATGTGTTCCAAGGTCATGGCTGGCTCAATCGATTTTATCTCGTTATGTTTGATTTATGGATATATTTATCGATGTAATTTAGATAATGTGATTCACGCACCGCATGGTTGATTAATTTATCTCGAAACGACAATAAACACAAAAATATACTCTTGCTCTGGAAATTATCTACTCAGAATTACAATTTAGTTTTCGTTGTTATACCGTATGTCCGTGTAGTCCGTTTTTTAATGAAATGTATGTTTTTTTTTTTTTTTTAGTGCTTTTCTGTAGTTTCTTATTGCCTTAAAATCCGCAGTCTACTCATTACGTTTCGAAAAATTAAATTTTAACTTTTTAACTGTACTCTCGGGTCCTGCCGGGCTTTGCATGTTAATATCTCGAACGATCAATGATCTATTATATCCCCGTCTAATTACGCGTGTTCAAAAAAAGTAGAGTAAAAGTATTTTTAAGGTATCGGTCCGGCGATTGGGGGTTTTAAAACAAACCACGCGGCTTATTAACAGCTCACAGTTGGTCAGTTATAAGTCAAGTCGGCGATTTCCCGATTATATAGTACAATAATAACGCGTCGGAATAATATTATGATTCGAATTACATTAACCCGTTGCTATGCGCAGTACAATCATAATATAAATTATATTATATACAATGCTATTTATATTGTTTACTGTTCCTCTCCTCACCCCTACCCCCTCCCTAAGGTTACGTGAATAATATTCCCGCGAACGCCATGCCAACGAACCATATTAAACGCGTATTATGTTGGCTGCGACTTTTCACCGGAAATGATCTCTCATGTCCGATACACCGACATTGTGACCGTGGCGTATTCTTGCAGCGATCGTAATTTATTATAAATGTAAAGGTAGGTAATATAATAATATATTCAGGTGCTCTAAAGATTATAGTTCATAACTCTATACGAGTACTATACTGGACATCGCACAACGTGTGCGGATGGACATTTGCGTGTGTATACTGTGAAAAAAAAAAAAATGTATTAAATACGATCGGGTATGCGGAAAGTCCGCGGGTGTAATATGATTTTTCTCGAAATGATTTATTGATAATCGGACCCGGGGGCCGCGATCGAAATCCAATAAGTCGATTAATTATAATATAATGTTGCGGTGAAATCGATCATGTGATACCGAAATATATTCGAAAGCCGATAAAATATCGTACCGTATATTATAAATACACGATTCGGTTACTGTTATAAATACATAAAACCGTAGTTCTCGAAGTCCCGTCTGGACTTTTATAATATTGCTGTATACAGCTATTAAAAACAATATGTTGAATTATCAACGTTTTCGTACGTCACACATCGGTTTAATGTAAACACAACGATAACAATGTTTATTGGCGCCACGATGTAGTTTTGTCTACATTGTGATTCGCACCCATATCTATAATGAACTACTGAACGGGGCTTTTATAACGGGACTTTCAGCGCTTAAAAACGTCAAAAAAACCCTTAAAAATGGTTATGGCTTTATCATATTAAATCATATTTTCTAACACTAGTACATTACAGAAATTATTACACAGAGTAGTTTTTCAAAATAAATTAGGAGTTGTTAGAGAGCGGTAATTTTCTCTATTGTTTATACTTTTTTAAACATTAGTTTTAATAAATAGTTTTTGAAATTTTAAGGGCTTTTTTGTGGATTTTAAATGCTAAAAGTCTCGATTCTTGCTAATAAGTATTAATTTAGTGCATTAGACGTACATTGATTTATGCTATAATTTAAATTTGGTACTAAAATATTATTTGACAGATCAGTACAATATACACTATGTGTTCACATTCCCCTCCCTTCAAAATTATCAAAATTAGGTCTACGAGTAAAAATATTTAATAGGTATATATGTATACAATTAACCATTTATTCTTTATTGCGGATATAAAACACTGGACTCAACCGTGTATTTGCTGGACGCTGGACGCGATAGACCTATTTAAAAAATTGCCCGATCCAAATAATATTCGAATTCATAGACAATTTAGCCAATTTATTGAATAAAATAGACATATATAGGAAATAGTATTGTATAATGCTAATTTAGATTTTTGCAGTCTAATCGTAGAGACTTTGAAGTTCGTTCTTAAACTCATTGATTGGGTACAGATTTTTTTTTCTCAATTTGTACGTTATTAATCCGAATTATACACTTTGATTTTGAAAAAAAATGGTAAGCTATTTAAAAACAACAAATTTAAATAAGAAATCACCATTAGTTTATTTGTTTTCAGTTAGTTAAAAATACATTTTATTTCTTGTGTATACAGTATACACTATATAGGTACGTATATAATAATAATCGTAATAAAAAGATTAACGATGCATATGCGTCGTATTTTGTTATTTATCTGAAGTTTTTTTATAAACGATTTTTACACATCCAACTGCAAATAGATAAAATAATCTAGTCCAGTAGGAAACTGCTCACAGATATACTCGATGATTATTGTATTTTATACCGAGTCTCTTGTAGACGTCGAATATCGACATGTAGAATGCAGATGTAGAACATTATTTACTTATACACGTGGAAACTTTGGCGTACCGTTTATAATATATAAGGAAACTGATGTTCACTCTGATAAAATATTTTCATCGAAGTAGATTCCATTTTTGCGTTTCGCGTGTGCGCGCGCGCGCGTGTGTGTGTGTGTGTGTGTGTGTGTGTGTGTGTGTGTGTGTGTGTGCGTGCGCGTGTAAACCTACATTGTGATTATTAGCAAACAAAACGGATCCTTAACAGCCGATACCGCAGTATAATATTATTTGTGTACCAATGCTTATCTCTCTTCCTCTGTCAATTTAAATTATGATTAATGCGCCGTCGTCGTGGCCATTGTCGACGGGTATACAAACGAATTATAAATGATAAAAAATAAAAAAAAAAAAGTCACTAATTCGATAGGTCAATCCAATCCGTCCCCTAGGGTCAATGTGTTCATTAAGTCGAACACTCGTTATTTTAGCCGCACGTATAATATTATTATGTTTACAATATTGCGCATTTGTTTAAACAAAATCATTATCCGAAAAAGCGCGGTATACCCAAATCCAAATGTACTTATAACCTCGACTGACTTGAGAGGCGCGGCCTTCTCCATTTGATAACAATAATTATTGCCACCGCCGTCGATTAAATAATATTTCATGAACAAATTATAATTGTATTACGTTTAATCATTAATTATTACAAATATTTACTAAAAAATAACAACGGTGCATATTATATAGGGTGTAATCGCGACGATTAACTGAGATCTTAAAATAATGTGTTACAATAAAAATTAAGTAACAAATATAATAGTAATATAAGGTACTACTGCACAATTAGGTACGAGTTCTAAATTTTTGCACATTTTTACAGATATGGGTAGATAAACGTTTTTAAAGAATTATATGTTGTCCCGAGATCGAGAAAACGAGTTTATAAAAACCCGCAGGAATGTACAATATTTGGATCTTACAAATTTGTAATTCCCATGGTTTTTTACGGATATGAAATATAAAAATCAGGAGAGTAAAATATTTGAAAAATATCAATATTACAGTATACTGAAACATAGTCTATGACTACCTCCAGTTGATCACTTCACGAGTTCATGTTAGAATTTAATAACCTCTGTTAATGGAGTTATTCTGGAAAAGTTCTGTATCTCAAAAGTTTTATCATCACATTCATTCAAACGAAATTCATTTCGTGGTGATTTTAATAGAAATTATTATTGGTTTCATAAATTTCATAATTCTTATTTAATCCATTTGTGACAACAATCTAATACAAATTTTGGAAGATGATAATACATATCTATTGACTCGATAGAGTACTCTATTTCTACGTATGTGTCCACTACTTTGATGCGTATTAGACAAATCCCAAAACCATTATCAAATGTGAGATTTTTGGAAACTTATTTACATAATTTTAGTAAAACCTCGTAAAAATCATTAATTTCATTTGATCTCATTTGTTTCATTCATTCATCTCAATTTCCCAAAATATACTTAGATTTCTCATCATGTCGGTGATTTTACACATTTCACTTATCAGATCATTGAAGAAGGTTTACGTGATCTCATCTCGTTCACTTTCAACATTATCACTTTTCTAGACCAACTCCTTAGGTGGGTCACAGGGTATTCGAGTGTAGTCAGATAACCGTATACAATTCTGTTGAAATTCAAAAATTTTACATTCCAGATTTGTATATTTCAGACTCGTGCCGTTCCAGGGTTTAACGTGTTCCCGAGAAAACGTTATTTACGGATTTATTATGTACAGAATATAAAATTATTAAAATATAATACTCGCGACTATTCTAAATTCTAATACACAGGTCGCAATAATTGTAAACGTCATCGATTACAAGAATAATAACAAAAAAAAAAAGTTAAAATTAAAATAAACCAATAAATCGTGCGCTGTGTCGTCGGTATACACACGTATATTAAGTGGACGTGGGTGGGCAGAGGATATTACCACTTACACGCTTATAAATATATAATGTACGTCATATATAATACAGTTCATGACCAGTGTGTAAACCCAACAATATCTTACTGCTCAAGGTACGAACAAATACGCATAATATTATTATTATAATATATAGAAGCTTATTATCATACTGCAGGCGTGTGTAATTTGTTTTAAAAATGCGAAGTGGGCATATCTATCTGAAAACGTTTACTGGACGGAAATTAACGCGAAGACAAAAAAAAAAAAAAAAAAAAAATTACAATAAAAACAATCTCTTTCGGAGGTCTTCTCGAGATAACAAATTGGTTCACACACCGAACGTAACACGTTTATTGTAACTCGAAAAAACCGGCCGACGACGGGAAAACATTTCGCGCGTACCGTCAATATTCTCACGACCGAATGCCGCCGAAGTTTCTGTTGGCCCTAGTCAAGTCGAGTGGCGTCGCGGCCCCGGCGTTTTTGCGGTCGCGCGGCCGCGTCGGCGATCGGAGTTTTCGGGCGTATTTGTCGGCGGTCTCGTTGTTGTTGTCGTCGCCGTCGCCGTAGAGCTGACCGCGCACGGTCAGGTCGATCGGCCGGTCGTCGTCATCGTCGTCGTTGTCCGCGTCGTCGTTGTCCGCGTCGTCGTCGTCGTCGTCGGATCTGCTACAGACGGTCTCGCGGAAGGCCGAGTGTTCGGACCGCGGCAACGGTGCCCAGCACTTGGGCGCGAAACCGAAAAACAACGGCATCGGGACCACGGGCACGGGTAACGGCAACATGAGGGACGGCGGCGGCGGCAGTGGCGACAGCTTCGACACGCCGCCGTCTTTTTCTCCTCGGTCGCCGCCACCGCCGCGGGGAATCCGATGCTTCTGCAGCCGCTGCAGTTGCTGTTGCTGCTGCTGTTGCTGCTGCTGCTGTTGGATCAGACAGTGGATTTTGAACCAGTTGGACCGCCGGCCGTAACGCGAACCGCTTTTCGACATGCCTACGGCCAGGCATTTCTTTAGACGGCACGCCTTGCACGACGTCCGGTTTTTCTTGTCAATCACGCACCGGCCGCCGCCCGTCTTGCACTCGGTCGCCGCCGCGGCCGTGGGGTTGGTGTGCGCCCGGCCGAAAAAAGACTGAAACGTTAACGACAACAGTGTTAATTATTATTATTTACTACCCTACCGTTTGGACGGCAGTTATAGTCAATAACGCAAGTACATCAATGTTGCATTGCAGGTCCCGGGGAAGAAGGCCACCTGTATAGTTCAATTTTGACATATTTTTCGTTTTTATTTAAATGGCCCAACTGGCTTTATTCGGAATTGAATTTGTTTTGCATTGGAAACAATACGAATTTGACTCGAGCCCGTCTTACCCGGGACTAACGATTTGTAGGTAGGTACTTCTAATAGTCGTGTTAAGAAGCGTATAGTGCGAATGATATTATTCGCATTCATACATTTACAACACCGGATAGTTATTGATACATTTTTTGTATTTTATTCGTAGTCGATGGAAAGGGCTGAATCATTTTTAGCCCCCCTTCAGTAAAGCCGCTGGATTCGTGTGCCTATATATCAGTGGCGTAGCCAGGAATTTTTTAGGGGGGCGTATTTTTTTCGTGTTTAGATTTAACTTTGTAACTTTATTGTGCGTATGTAACACGTAGCATAATATATTTAACAATTATCCATGCGTAACTGCCTAATAGTAAATATTATAACTTTTGGGAAAAATATAGTCAAATAGGGGTGTTTGAATATCAAAACATCCCTTCCAGCTACGCCACTGCTATATATCTCCGAGAAATTTTCAGCAAAATCGTCTCTTTATAAGTACATATTGGTTTAAATAGGCAGAGTGATACCCCCTCACAACTTTGCCAAGCTCCCCAAAATCTAGTCCTCATCTCTCGCGAGTTATGAGTTTAAATGATTATTGCATCAATATTATGGAAGATTTAAACCGCGTGCCTTAGCATATTCGGGATATTTACGCTTATGACTCTAATGTTCGACACGGCGATTTGTCATACATTCTATACACGATAAATCGTCGCGCGTCGCATCAGACAGATTTTTAAAACTCAACGTTTCGAAACTTAGTCTTTTGATTACGCACCGTCGTTAATTAGTATATATATAAGCAATTGTTCGTATTGTACTATAATAGGTGTAAATAAAACAATGATTGATGAATACGGCGGCCGTTGATAATACACAAATACGAGTTGTTATCCACGTTATAACATCGTCGGCGTTCAATCGTAAAACTCAATTAATAATATTATGACGTGGTTTCCTTAGTATTTTTCATCAATCATAATATACGGAGATATTTTAAACGAAATTATTATTAAACTTGATAAAAATTCGAAATTTCTGATGTAAATGCAAAATAAATCACGAGCGCTAAATTTAAATACTCACCACTCATTAACAATATAATAAATAAACATATCTGAGCAAAATGTAAACTATAACTTAAACTTTTTCAAAAATAATAATAAAAAAAAAAAAAGTGTTTGAATAATCGCAACAATAATACAGCGATTAGCGAAGAGTAACAATGGAAGAGATTAATGATATATTTTTTTAAATTTACAAGATGCAAATAGAAAACATACAACAATGGACTTCTGCGCTGCTATAGTGATAATGCAATATTACTGCAGCAATAATCTCGGAAGGTCACTAAGTCAGACGACAGTCAAATAATTTATCGTGTTTTATAAATGGTCGATAAAATACGAAAACAATTTAAAAATGAATTTATTTCACGTTTTTTTAACGGTAGTTTCAAAAGAATGTAAAAAGTATTGGGGAATTTTTATAAACAACAATCTACTTCTTATACCCACGATTATAATTGTATACTAGTTAAGAATATCAATATAGTGCTATAGACCAGTGTCGAGACACAAATAAGTCAAGTGTATCTTGTGTATTATTTTATATAAGTATAAAATATGAAAATATATCGAGTAAACGATGAATGAAACTAAAATAATCTAGACAGTCATAACCATTTAAAAAAAAAAAAACTTTTTTTCGAAAACATTAATATGTTTTCAAATTTTATGTGATGTAATAAATGTATTAATTGTAAAATTAATGTGTAATAACCGTATACTTATATCTGTTATAAAATTCAATTAACTTAATTATATAAAACGTATAGTTAAGATTATAAACAGAGCGTGGGGTTTTGAGGGGGTCCCTATAAACGGGTAGAAATCTTCTAATAAATCCAATACGCTGGGATCTGTATATAAATTATATAGGTAGACTAATTTTTTAGTTTCATTTAAAATTATTAATTCTTAAATTCCAAATACCGAACCTCCATAAAAGTGCATTTATTCCCTACAGAATATAATTTATTTAAACAAGTGACATTTTATCCAAGATAAATATTTAGATAACTTGACAATATTATTTATCTCGATAAGATAAAAGATAATTAAACATATATTTAGATAAGTCTTAACACTGGTGTAGACTGTACACAGGTACTTAAATTCATTAAGAACTCAAGTATATTTTATTAACATTCTCGTATATGGCGGTTATAGAGATGAATTATTATTATTGGTCCATAGTCTTTATATACAGTCGACTTGTTTAGAAATATACAGGAGGGAAATCGGTATAATAAGATAATATATTTCATTTCTAATAGGCTCTGCGCGGTATTCTATTTGGTATATCTAATTAACGCCTAACGCATTTTACATATTATTATAAACATACAGCGCGTCCGCATAATTTATTAGTGACACCTTCGTATAAATCTATCCACAAATTTCCTATGTATACCTATATAAACGCTTTTTTGGTTTGTAAATATAGGTACCTACCTACTCAAATTTAATGTTCTGGTTTTCGGAGATAATAAATTGCCGAATAAAATATAATATTACAATATACGAACATTAAAAATAGTTTTGAAAAAAAAAAAACACCTGAAGTATCCTTACTTTGCATCCTTCGCACGTAAAAGCTCCGAAATGAAAACCAGCAGCCGGTTCCTCGCATACTTTACACCGTTGGTTCATCTGAAAGAGCATAATATAATAAATGATTATCATCAATAACCGTGGATGTTCGTAGACATTTTCCAGGGAGAGGAGCAAAATTTAAAAAAGTCCATATTTTAGTTGGGTTATCTTAACTTACATATATCATAATATTATTTATAGGTTTTAACATTTGTTACATCATATATTTGTCAAAAATGTAAAAAAGGTATTGGCGATCCAGATTTTTTTTTTTACTTTTAAATGATTATTTGATAAAATAAAAATCTAGAAAGGAAGGCAATTACATTGTATGTATTGCCCTCCTCCTACGGAAAGCCCATGTCAATAAAAAATTAGCGTTACAAATATCGTTCAAACTGGCACTGCCTAGAAGTAGTTACAGTGTACTAAATTTTAAATAATATATATAGATATATATACATATAGATACGAGTTTATTGTGCAGTAGGTACCTATACGTAATTAAGCCGTATCTTCTGTAAATATTTTATTGTCATTTTAAACGCACGAAGACAAAATGTGCAAGTACGTGAAGTTTACGTAACTGTAGTTTTAGTAAAGTGTGAAAACTGAAAATATCAACAAAATAAACTGTTTTCCTATTTGGTTCTTATATATTATTTTATCATGTGATAGCGCTACTATTCAGATATAGAATTTTCTTGAAGCGGAGGGTGTATGGATTATACATTTTTTGTCAGAGTTTAATTGTTTTACTAGGTGTTTTATAATAACGAATTTAACAATAATATTAAAATTTTATTTTTACTTTGTTCTATCGATTCATTTAATTTAATATATAATAATAATTTATAATATATAATAATTTAATTATCAAAGTTTTCTTTTATTCAAGCTCGAATAAATCGATTAATTTATCTGTTGTTATCTCGACTTCTTTGTGTCACGAAATAAAAATTACTTACAAATCTCGCAAAATTAAAATGTCTATAAATGGCTCAAATGTTTTTTTTAAATTTCCCCATCTCTAGAAAAGGTAAATATAAGTTTGTGTGAAAATGTCAAGTTGATACAAATATTTTTAACTGATTTACATTAAAAAACGAAATGTAAAATATTAAAAGAATTTTTTTTTTAATTTTCCCGTTCTTTTTACGTATTTGTCTGTTTTTCTTAATTATGAATAAAACTACAGAGAAAATTAAAAAAAAAAACTTTCATACAAATCAATTAGATTAAAAATGAAACAAATAAGGTCGCATGTTGTTTTTCTATTGGAGCAATATTTATGGTAGAATACATAAATGTACAATTTTAAAATAATGGAATCGTTTTTGTAATTTGAAAAAATCGTATTTTTCGTAATTTTTTGATTTTTTCCAATTATTATGGAAAATACCTCTTAAGTATTTTTTTCCTCTCAATTCTTCATTATGATGTAAAAAACGACTTTCTCGGCTATATATTGATAGAAACAAACTAGATCTCTTTTTTTCAATTTGAACAATATTTCTGATAGAAAACATAAGTTGAAAAAATTAAAACAATGAAGTCGGTAACGTCGTGGCGAACCGTAAATATTTGCCGGTTTACCTATAATTTTCTTTCGGGTTTTTTCCAATTATTTCGAAAACCCCTTGGAAAACTACAAAATGCCCTTCCCAATGCACCAACTAGAGAAAATTTCCTTTAAGAAAAAGTATTATACTCAATACATCGGAGCAAGATTTCTTTACGAAAAGTTGTTTATAGAAAAAAAAAAAAAAACACATAATAAAACCAATAGATGCCTCGCTACTCTCCGAATTCAAAAAATGAATGGAATAATTTATCCCTTATATTCCACCCTCATAAATAGGCCACTGCTTCTACCTGTAGTGTATGTTATTACCATTTTGACAAATAGTTGCGTGGGTGACTCTTATCGATGTAATGTTTCAAAGTGCGGGGAATAGCGAATATAAATCCAGGTTCACACTAGGATAATATACTAGGTCGAATCACTAAAGCACATTGCTAAATTGTAAACTAAATAGTGTTTAGTGACACAGTGTTGCAATAATAATAATAATTGACTAGTATAGTTCATTCTATTAGTGTTTACATGTATGTTTGTACATTTTCTTGAAAAATGACTAAAAAATCAAGACCCGGCGTCCAAAATTTGTACTCGATAACCATTCGAAGAATCTAGTGATTCAATAACATAGAAAAAGGATTAGCAAACTAAATTTAGACAAGGAAAAAAATCGACGTAGCAATTTGATATTTAGTGAACTCGTGTAGAAGATGACGTGACTGAGTTTATAAATTACACGAGAGCGAGTCCGTCCAAGGTAGTTACATACTACCCAGTTAACTATACCACCTTGAGTTCGTCGATGTTTAATTGCTTACTTGTCAAACAGACACTAGATAACAGTGATGATTCACATAAGTGTCTACGTCGGTTTATAGTTGATAAACGAGTGCAAGTAGCAAGTCCAACCCGGCCGAGAAAACCGAACCCCGGTTATCTAGTCGTTCGATTAAAATAGTCTTCACTGTACAGAATCGGCACCAATGTCACTAATAATGATAATATGAGCGCATTTTTCGAGCGGTAAAAAGCGCAGCCACTTGCTTCGGTGACTCGGCCGAAATACTGTCCGGCAGTGTAAACCCGGCACGATAAGACTCGATGTTTTTGTACGGTATACGCGTGTTATAATAGTTAACACGAGCGGCGAACTACAGAATTTTCGACATGACTCTTCGCCGTCACGCCGCGCGCCGCCACCAGGTGTATTTTTCACCCGTCTTTTGTGCGCCGATCACGTCGTCGCCTGGTACGCACACTGTCTGCAGGTCAGACGGACCGCGGACATCATGAGTTAGGTGTGCGGGTTAGAGCGTTGAAAATCGTAACGAGTTGTGCCCGACCAGAGTCACGATCTCGATCTCGTTGTAACGATTAGTTTTTTTTTTTTTTTTATGCATATTATATTTCTTCGCGGACATTCCATCGCTCGTGGCACCGACACTTACGGCGCAGCCATAGGTGACGTTTTAAATAATAGTCCAAATCGATTTTGGCCTTTCGACCGCAAACCCGACGCGTTGTTCTCGTGATGCTCGGCTGTTCGACGGCCGCGACTCCTCCTTATAGTCATCGCCGCCGCCGCCGCCGCCGTGTATATATGATCCGCGTACAGTAATAATAATAGTAATAATAGTAATATTATGATCTAGATGAACGGGTTTCGTTTCTTTTTCGAGGGCGAGGGGCCAGGGGCCAGGGGCAGGCGGGCGGGAGGCGTCTACCGCGACGGGTTTTATTAGTATGATTATCATCGCCGTCATATTATGTACCTACACAGGTATACGTTCTATACGCCGATGCCGATATCGCATTCGTTTTTCCTTTCCCCTTCCCCCTTCTTTAGTTTTCGCCACGGCTAAATACGATTATTGTTATTATCGTACGGACTGCAGCGAACTCCCCTCCCTCCTACCCTCCCTCCCCCCCGATCTTCGTACACACCACTCGTATATAACTGCAGCGACATGATCGATAGGATCGTGATCCGATCTAATTTTAAGGCCGATAGCATAATAATAATATAATACGTATATGTACGTATTATATACGTATACATGTATAGTTTATAATATAGTTTTCGTCATAGCGTCCCGCTAGATGAGCGGAGCGATGCGAGGAGAAGAAGAAAAGTGCGGGATGACGGGCGGCGGCGAGGGGAAACCTATAGCGGCTACGCAAACACACCCGATACGAAATACGAGAACGGACGAATAAATCACCCGTCGTGACGACCTAATACGATTCCTCGGCCTCTACGATAATACGTGCGCGCCGTGATGCGCGCGCGCGGAGAAGGAGAAGAAAAAAAAAAAAAAACCCGCGCTAATAGATTCCGTCGGTGCCCCGTGTGTGAATCGCGCGTTATATTATTGTAATAATAATATCACGTTATCACTGTGCGCCTTTATCGCCGTGATCGGCCGTGATCAATAACGATTTACGCCTCGCGACGTGCGATTTCGGGGGCCGAATCACGCGCGCGTAATGTTGTTGTTGCGCGTGATCGGGCGCGTTTGCAAAATGAAAATAATATTTCGGGGGGGGGGGGGGAGGGTTTAGAGCATGTACGCTTTCATCACAAAGAAGTTTACTTTCGTTTGTAGGGTTATTTCACTATTTCGTTAAAAATGTCGAATGCCTATTCGTTTTTTAGCCTCTCGGGGGGTACCCGCGCTGTTACTAAATATTACGTTTACCTTTGCCTTAGCGAATACAATAATAACAATATATTATGTCTACTATGTAGTAACAAAGTAAAAATAAAACCAAAATCGTATTTATCTATACCTCATTGACAGAAACCACTTTTGTGACTCTATTAAAAATCTACTTTCGTTATAATTTGTATGAAATTTCGCGGGGGGGAAGGTGTTGACCCACCATCTGCCCCCCCCCCCTTGTACACGCGCTTGCGTATTATATATTTCTGAATACGAACCGCCTCGAAAATCCGTTCAAATGGGGGAAGAATATTGTCGTTATTATTTTTAGATTCTGAGCGAAGCAGTTGGTTTTGTTTTATATGATTGCGTATGCGATGTTTTTACATTTTGCGCCTGTGCGAACAGTTTATCCGCCGGGAATATTGACAAGAGAGTTTTTTCTTATTGACCGTTTGCAGTGATTTTTTAAATAGTATTTGCATCATAGTCGTTTTGTGGCACATAACAATGTGTATGTGGTTTGTTTTCATATTTCGTTCATTAAGAGAATATAGTATATTTTTAAATGTAATCGAGGAAATTAACGTCAACATAAAACTATACGCTAACCTAACCCTCTCATTCAGAAATCCTGGATACGCCACTGATATGTGCGTAACGTTATATATATATGCGATAATATGCTGCATGATGATTGAAATAATTGTTGTATGTTCCAGCAATGATTGTCTCATATAAAAACATGCAAAATAGAGAAAAATGTATAGGTTTGGTTAGTAAAAAACATAATAAAAAAGTTTTATTAAATGGTACAGCATAAAATTATATACGGGCTCCAACCTTTTTAGACACCCTATTTTTCGGGAGAGAGTGGGAATTCAAAGGAGAACCAATAATTTTGTTGCGAAAATCACTTAGATATTTTTTTGATGAATTTTTAGGGGCGAAAAATATATTTTAGTGCAAAACTTTCTTTGAGAGTGATTTAAAGTCTTACAAAAGTGTATAGCATATACACGCTCGCGCATTAAACAGCACAATGCAACCACAGATATTTAAGTGATGGATTCTGAGTAATAACTCTCAAGGAATGAGTTTCGCATTAAAATATTTTCATATTCGTTAAAATTATCATTGTCATTTAATTCGTTAAACAAATATCGTTACGTGATGTTTACAAACAAAATTGCAGGTTCTCATTTTAATTTTAAAAGTCGATCCAACACCCCCTGCCCACCCAACGGAACGTCTGGAAATATTTAAGCCCACTCACGGTTTTAGATTATAATACACTATTTAGTGAAACGTATTAATTTCATGTTTTTCTCCACTGTCCGAGTTTATGCGGAACAATAAATAATCGCTGTAACGCACAGTTTCGAACACGTTACACGTGTGCGCGTTTGTTCCCGGAAAAAGAGAGAAAATGAAAAGGGTGTTACGTAAAAAAAAAAAAATTGACATTATTTACGCTTCCGGAAAAAGCCTGTTGGAAATTTAGACGTACGCGCGTATTATCGGCGTAGCGATTCGTTGACTTTTGAGCTCGTGATGTACGCCCGGCCGTAGTACGCGGAGAACACCGCCGCGGCGCCCGTTGTGCGTTGCACACTAACGACGGGTCGGCCCTACCGAGTCGTCGGACGAGGAGTAGCCGTGTACGCTCGTGATCAATTATAAATCTAACGATGATTATTATTGCTAACTTTACGACGTGGATTTCATTGAACATCGTTTTGAACTTGAACGCCCAGTCCGTGCGGCGCGGCGTGCGCGTGCGAACACAGGTACCCGTGATATTTTTGCTCGCCTCTCCGCGCGCGCGATGGCGTACCGGTCAAGCGCGTGATATATTATTCACACGCGTTCGCAAAACGTCGCCGTCGTCCGCGCTATTAACAGTGCGGTTTTCCCCTCCCTCCCTCCCCCCCCCCTTCGACCCGCTCCGTGACGGTTCGTCAGTGACTCCTCGCCGTACTAACACTGCACGCTTTAAACCGTCCGGCATGATTTCGCCCCCCGTCCCGTCCCGATTCTCCGGCGCATATCGCGAAGGGCACTGGGGGTGGTGGGAGGGGAGGAAACCAGAAAAGTCGCTTTTTTTTCATTTTCTGTCTCAAACCGAGGGAAACGTAACGGTTTTTTTCTCTTTTCGCGTCACAAAGTTAAAAGTCCGGATCAAGTTTAACGTTAAACTTTGAAACGTAGTAACCACAACATAGTAATAATATAATGTCACGTTTTATTATTAACCAAGGCTGTAGCCGTGTATTAACCCAACACTTACCCGCAGGTCATAAATTGACTGCATTTGTTATTTTTTTTTTTTTCCTGTAGGCCTAAACTTCCGGCGTTCATTACCTATTTTCGATTAATCTGCAGGTTTTTTCGACGTTTCGATCGCACAAAAGACACGGCGCGCCATTTCAAATTATCTGATACAGCCAATATTGCAGTGGGGTGGGGGGAATCGACTTTTCTGGTTTTTTCCCTGTATCCTTCATACATATGTATATAATATACATGTGTGTACACACAGTATATTATTATGATCAATATGACGCGGACCGAAAATATATCACGGCGAAGCGCGGAACGGTTCATCAATAACAGCGATATTTTTCCCGCGGTTCCTGTCCGTCTCGCCGACAAATCGTTTTGGTTGTCAAGGTCGGGGCGACGACGCGCGTGTTCTCTACCTCGCTCCTCTAATCGCTCCGCCGCCGCAGTAATTTGACGCTCGTGTGCGCTTCTCATCGTCGCCGTCGCAGACCGCTCGTATTTACGGTGCCGCGCGCGGTGTATCGCGTGGCCGTGTTACAATTAACGCGTTTGGTAAATAGGACTCGTGATTATCGCGGCCTTGTCGTGATAGTAATATTATTATGTACACACACACACACACACACACACACACACGACGGA